GCGGAGGTTGGCTGGCTCTTCTATAATAAATACGACACTCCAACTTACAGAATGCTTGCTAGAGATAAAACAAAATATTATCAGACTATACATGCAGCATGAGTAACTGGTGGATAAGCCTTCGGTAAAAACGGATCCGGAAAAGTCAATGCGGCACTCGGGTCCTTGGTATTGTCGTCGGTATATTGTCCATTATTTACGTTCTGCTTTCATAGTTCAAACAATAGTGAGCTCTAAATATACAGCTTTAAACCGATTAAGTATGAATGAATGAAATACCTGACAATCCGCACTCCTATAATTCAAAAGCATGAGTAACTCGTAGTGATGTACGATTTCAAGAAAGTTTAAATTAAATTTGGCGCTCACAGGTCCTCGTGATCATGTGATCGCCGCATAATGCTCTGTAAATGCGCAGGGCACCTTCAAGCTTAAATTATTCACCATACTGAGGCAGTCAACCAACGCGCGGCTTTATTTTTATGATATGATATGTTTTGATTGTTATTAATAAATACCAAAATTTAAATTTGTTTTACTAAAATTTGTTTTACCAAACAATGGGGAGAGTAATTTCGATCAAACATTACCTTAAGGTTCTCCATGACTCAGACGACATTCATTTTGACTTCGTGAGAACTCAACTAGATGAAATGAACCCAACAGTACTCTTCCATCTCCGAGACGTGCAGAAATTCTTAATATGGAAAGTAGAACATTTCAGCACTGAAGGTCAGACCTGTCACTTAACCCAGAGAAATCTAGAACAAGTTCTGTTACTACCCAAAAAGATTTATAAGTACACTAAAGGAATGATGCAGCAATTCACAGAGCTTCTTTGGCAAGAGAGCTTACAAAACCTACTACTGACGGAAGGATGGTCTGAAATTCCAAGAGTCTCCTGCAACCCCCTTCCTATCCCCTTTGGAGTGAGCCGCGAAGTGGAAGTATTAGTTATGAGTCTCATGTACAAGAACAATCTACTGAACTCGTTTCTCTTCAGAGTTGACAGAGCAGTGGCCTCTCCGCTATGCATCTGTGGCTCGGATGAGCAAACAGCACTGCACCTACTATCAAGTTGTGAGCTTGTGGACGCGAATCTACAATGTCAAGCTGAACGAATCATCACCCTGTGTAACAGCGGTAGGTCCATGGTCGATCTAGCAGCTGAGCAGGGCTCCATCATACTGAACTGTTCAAGGGACGAAATGTTTATAAGTGTGTGTGTGTTGAAATTGTAGAAAGCGAGGGGCTACATCTTAAGCGAAAGATTAATCTTTCGAAAAGATAAGGATTTATTATAGCATCCAATTTTGCTAATCTTGCTACTACTATGATAAAGAATGAAATACCATGTATATTGAAGTGTAGTAAAGTGTTATTGGACTTTGCTTATTTGATAACAAACACCTTTAAATTAAATATTGTTTTAATAACAATGGAATGAGTTTTTCTATTTGAGCTGTTTAGTTCAAAGAAAAGCAGATATGGACTGCTTTAAAACTTTTATTTTGGAAAAAGTTTGTTTCAGTAACCATTGAGAACCAGTGGCCTTTTGTAACTGCATCTTTAACCTCAGTTTCACTTTGAAACGTCAAGTGACTGGTAAAGTCAAATATTCTGTTTTATGAACATTTATTCTAGTATTTTGAAGTGTAGAAATTGTTAAGATCTTTAATTTTGTACTAAATTACTGATGTTTTATAACGTTTTAACGGGGTGTAATTTTGTTAGGTAGGTAATTAAAATTATTAGTCTTTTGGAAATTGAAGTTTTGATCTTTACTATTTATTGTTAATAAAATGCTCATTGTAGCCAGTTATTTTAAGATTTTCATCATCATCATATTATATTATATATTTTACATTTGTACATTGATATTTTACATACAAATTATAATAAATTGGATGTCATTTATTTAATTTAAAACGATGCAACAGCGATATGCCAAGTAAATCGGCGCGCGGCACAGCAAATCGTCCATATTATATATTGGATTTACAACCAAATTTTTATTGTAGAAAAAGTTATTATTTATATTGCTTCCCTGGCCCTTCGATGCGAAGCAAAAATGCTAATTTGCGCGTCGAAGAGGCGAAGTCTTCCAAATCTTAATAGTATTGACGATTTCAACCCTTCCAGATCGTTGCTCTGCGAAGCAACAATGCTAGTTTGCGCGGCGCGTCGCGGAAGTCCTCCAACATCTTAGTTATTAGTTATAAATTAATAAATTTTGATGTTTACTCAACACATCTACAGCACCATCGACTATCGAACTTTTGATTTGATAAAAAGATACTTTAAAAGCATGCCGCACTCTTTGTCATACGTTGTATGACCCGCCGCGCACGAGTGCGCGGCTCCCCCTGTATCGTCGAAACTCTACTATAGTGAAGCGACCGTGGGGGTCACCACGTGATACAACGCACTCTTACTTGCTTATTGAATGTAAATGACCAGCATCCCATCCCTTGCATACAATTAATTACAATTAATTACAAACGAGCTAATTATACCTGTTTCAAAAGCATCCTGTCTGGAAGTTCCCTGACTGCCGTGTGAATCTTTGGATCTATTAATGGATATATTTTATATTGATAAGATTTTTATATACCTATATATTCATCGCATAATTTCCATGTCCGCCTGAACAAACTTGGCACCATCAAATCTTACCTCTAAAAACCCCAGAACTTATCAAGCCTAGTCTTAATTCAAAACTATAGTTGACCAGCTACGTACAGTTTCCTGGACAACTGGAACCTTTTGGGCCATGCACAAGCCAATAGCATGTATGGTCCTGCAGTGGGGTCTCCTTGTCATTGGATCTGTGTTTTGATCCGTCTTCTCTTAAAATTTTCCATTTGTGTCACTTAGACTCACCTATTAAATGTTAATCGACACCACTGGTCCTAGTTAGATTTAGCCATGGCACGACTACTCAAACGTAACAGTTAAATAGGTGTGACATACTATTATATTCTTATAATTATATCATATGAATTGATTGCACTGCTAATAAATAAAATACTTTGTTTTACTATAATACTTTGTTTTACTAATGTAAAGTACCATCTGTTTTCAACTATGTATTCGGTGTCAAACTATTAAATAATCAGCTGTGAGTTTATCAGCTGATATCATAATTTTATTTGTTTTGAATTGCTGAATTTGATCATTCGGTAATTCATTGAGCTTGTTTCATAAAAATAACACTTATATTGATGATTGATCCACTCAGAAGACTAGTACGCTAAATTGATGAATTAGATAATATTGTAACCAGATGGAAACCTTTGTAACATGAACAGTCGTCAAGCACCAAAAACATGTATTTTATTTTCTCTTTTCATGTGTTGTATTTGTCAATGCACAATTGTCATTTTTCTTCGACAAGTTACTTACTGGAAAGCGCCAGCCTCGCAAAAAAAGTTGATTAATGTTTTAAAGTTTTGAAGTTTTAAGCTTGGTCTTCAGATAAAGGGCGATTGGTAACCGAACCATGGTGGTGACTTACTCTTACGTGATGAAGACTATTTTAAAATTTTCAGGGAAGATTTTTTTGAACAACTCTATTTTAAAGTGAGTTTGAAAGTTATGATTTTCCCCAATGGATACTTATTCAAGCAGAGTTAAGAAAAACAATTAGCACCTGAAATACAAATCCTGACAATTTACATGTAAAATTCGATATAAATCATCCCTTGTTTCAACAGTTATATACCGACCATGTCAGTAAGTTTGTATGCCCTTTTACCAGCACTCTGCTATTACATGCAAAGTCACCATATTCGTTGTATCTTGCAACTCCGGAGCATGTCAAGGCACAGGGTGTAGGATTGGTGTCAGGAGTGCTCAAAATCTTCAATTCACTCAAAAGAGCTGGGTAAACTAGTATCATTGTCAACAGACAACCGAAAAGTTTCATATTGGCAGGAGTTGGAACGAGTGCAATTTGTAAAGCTAAGAAATTACCTATTTTTCTTTAAATGTTATATTTAGGGGGTGTCTAAAAATTGTATGTCAGTAAAATTAGACAGTGACAGATGGCTATTTATTGTCAAGAAAAGAAAGGTGTTATATTTGTATGATATTTTACACCTTGGTAATTTACAAAAGTGGTGAAATTTGATTAAACCCATGTGTAAGGTGGAGCCAGTAATCAACCGGGATTCCCGGCGCCGTGAAATCCCGGCACCGGGGGAGCTATTTCTTCCCGGCCCCGGCCGATTTTCAATTTTTGCCGGGAATTTGGCCGGGAATTTTTGATCGAAATCGGCCTAAAACTTTCATATAAATCTTAAAATTGATTTTCAATTTTGAAAGGATGATGTCCAGAGTGCCAACTTTCAAGAGCAGTCCTTTGTTTTTGTAACCTCTGATAGTTTTTACAAATAAGTTCATATCCTAAGTCCTGAAAAGTTCTAACTTGGCCGTGGATTTATTAAATTCACGGCCTCGGCCCCGGCCCCGGCCAAATTCCAGAACGGCCAATTCCCGGCCCTGGCAAAATTTGGACATTCCCGGCCCCGGCCAAATCCTACCCCCGGTCGTTTACTGGGTGGAGCAGCAGTATTCTTATTTAGTGCACAACTATATTTTCAAGAATAAGTTAAGATTTAACTATTATAGAAATGATGTCTCAAAGTTACATCAAAAATGATCCAAACTTGAAATTTAGCGAATTCAATATTGAATTTTGTTTTGAGTACGAAAACTGAATGGCACAATATGGGGGTCGAATTCCTGTCAACCATGCTCATAATGGTCAGACTCTCAGAATTTAAGAGCCTGCTTCGTCAAGATCACAGCCAGCAGACAACAGAGCAGCTATCTCCTCATTTAATTAGGGCCGATAGGTCACTACCGGACTTGCTGATTCGAGTGCTTTGCAATTACTATTGATAACAATATCGAGAGATGTGTTCAACTTGAGAAACTCACGCATTTTAATTTACAATACAAGTAATTTTCATAATTTCAACTTTTGTAAATTGTTTAGGTTATGTCAGTGTTCTTTGACCACAGAGCAGGGACAAACACTAACAGCGTTCATACTGATATTCAATGGCACCCTACATTTGCTCTTCTAGCTGTCGCTACTAAAATAGATGATGCTGACAACGAGGCTCAAGGAGCTGTTTCTTTGTTCTTCGATGAGGTAACTACTTTTATAGACAAGTATTACATCATAAATTTTAATTTTCTAATGATTAAAACAGAAAATCTCATTACTTGGTAGATTCTTACCTAAATCTTTTCATTTCCTGTTATAATTGTGTGGTAGGGATAATTTACTTTTCCACAATAAGCTTAATATTCAACTGCACAGGGAGAGCCTGTCGAAGAAATCAATATAGAAAAGAATTGTGCTCCAACAACTATGTCGTGGCACCCAACCAGAAAAATACTGTCAGTCGGTTGGGAAAATGGTCAGTAGAAATGGTTGTGTACTGGTGACTGGTGACTGGTGACTGGTGACTGGTGACTTGTGACTGGTGACTGGTGACTGGTGACTGGTGACTGGTGACTGGTGACTGGTGACTGGTGACTGGTGACTGGTGACTGGTGACTGGTGACTGGTGACTGGTGACTGGTGACTGGTGACTGGTAACTGGTGACTGGTGACTGGTGACTGTTGACTGGTGACTGGTGACTGGTGACTGGTGACTGGTGACTGGTGACTGGTGACTGGTGACTGGTGACTGGTGACTGGTGATATTATGTAGGGCCTGAAAACGGACCTTTACTGATAGTTGAAATTCGACATATGACGTCATCTAGCGTCATCTAGCGTCATCTAGCGTGAAATATCGCCAGATGATGATAGATGACGCTAGATGACGCTAGATGACGCTAGATGACGCCAATTAGCGACATTGTCGCTAAGTGCACGGCACCTTTCGAATGTCGCTATCTAGCGCCATCTAGCGCTATCTAGCGCTATCTAGCGCTATCTAGCGCTATCTAGCGCTATATGACGCTATATGACGCTAGATGACGCTAGATGACGCTAGATGACGCTAAGCACGCAGCACTGACGCCAGGCGACAGATAGCGCTATTTTCATCAAAATTCTAGGGACGACATCTAGCGTCATCTAGCGTCATATGTTGCCGCGACATCTGACGCTATCTGACGCCATCTAGCGACATCTGACGACATCTGACGACATCTGTCGCGACGACATCTGACGCAGGCGACATCAAGCGCTGGATAGCGGGATAAGTCAGTTTACGACAGTTCACGCTATCTAGCGCTATATAGCGCCAGATAGCGCTATATAGCGTCAGATGTCGTTGCGACATATAGCGCTAGATAGCGTTAGATAGCGCTAAATAGCGTTAGATAGCGCTAAATAGCGAAGAATTTTGGGTCGTGACAGTCCAGGCTATTTAGCGCTAGATGTCGCTATCTGGGTGGGTGTGGGTGGGTGTGTGTGTGTGTGTGTGTGTGTGTGTGTGTGTGTGTGTGTGTGTGTGTGTGTGTGTGTGTGTGTGTGTGTGTGTGTGTGTGTGTGTGTGTGTGTGTGTGTGTGTGTGTGTGTGTGTGTGTGTGTGTGTGTGTGTGTGTGTGTGTGTGTGTGTGTGTGTGTGTGTGTGTGTGTGTGTGTGTGTGTGTGTGTGTGTGTGTGTGTGTGTGTGTGTGTGTGTGTGTGTGTGTGTGTGTGTGTGTGTGTGTGTGTGTGTGTGTGTGTGTGTGTGTGTGTGTGTGTGTGTGTGTGTGTGTGTGTGTGTGTGTGTGTGTGCCACCCAATCTTTTCTGTTATTTTTATTTTATATGAAAATTAATTTTTACTGTGTATGAAAATTAATTATAATTTAAATGAGAATGATATAACTATAACTATAAGCTTGCGCGGCTCGTCGAAGTCACCCAACTATTACACTCGATTTATCAAATATTCGGCTGAGTGGAACAAAATATTAAATATCACTTAATCAAGGGGTCGTTTACATATTATAATTATATAAGGGGCCTGATGCCGCCGGCCGGGGTTTTCCAATGTATTACGCTCGCTAGTGTGATTGTGACATGATACTAATAGCTTAATAGCTATGTATGGAACTGATTACTAACAATGAGGGGTCGTTCACATACCCCGTAATCAGTTTTACCATAGCTAATATATTTATGTCAATATTACACTAGCGTAATCAATAATCATTTGAAAACCCCAACCTCCTCAGCTGATGACGTAATACTAATATGTAAACGACCGTCGACCCTTAACATTTCGGGATCGGAAGAAAGCGGCACGTACTATTTCGACAAAATTTATACAAGTTACTAACATCGTTGATTCATGATGCCAATCTTTCACAGCTCAGTGGTGCATTTCGCCGAAAAGCATTATTGGATACCGAGAAGCATTTTTGGATGCGCGGCGCGACACACTTTCACATAGCCATGTGCCTACGCGTACTGCGTGACGCGCTTGTTTCACGGCGGTCGCGCGCTACTGCAAGCGAGAGGGCTCTGGTTAGAGCAACGACACACTCACAGTAACTGGTAACGCATCGCGTTGATTCACGATGTCAATCCTTCACTGTTCACAGCTTGGCGAGGCCCAGTCATGGTGCATATCGCGTCGCCAATTTAGTAACATAGTTGGTCAGTTCGTACAAAAGTCGTAAAAAATTCGTACAGTTCGGCACGTTTTTTCAGTTCGGGATTATTTTGGGAAAAATTCGCCTCATAAATTTTCGAAAAGCTAAGTGCGAAAATTTGTGTTAAAATGGCGGAAAACGATGACGTGCGGATGCATGTTAATATTTTAAATCTGAAGTGTAACCTCCCGGACAAAAATAACAAATTTTTCGGACTGAAGTGATTAAAAAACAAAATTTTGTTTAAAAAATTCGGTAAAAATTCCTCGACAGCTTTTTAAAATTTGTACAGTTCGACACCTTTTAAAAGTTCGTACAGTAACGTACTGACCAACTATGTTTAGTAAAGCACTAGTGGTTGCAAGAAGCATTATTGGCTGCGGCCCAGTAGTGCATCGCGCTACAACAAACATCGTCAAATAGATTACTCGAAGCTCAAAGCTGTAAAGTATTTATCCAAAATAATTCCAATCCCGAGGATTGTTACTGGGCCGCGCTCAGCCTGTCATAAAGCTTTCGCGCTTGCACTTCACACTTGCGCGTAGTTCGTAAACTGAAAACTCGTGGGTACGATATATGATTATGAGGCCTTTTCATTCGTGCAGGAACATTAATTTGAAATTTAAACGGTTATGTAATGTGTAAACCCATTGTAAATGTGATTACTGAACAATAAATTCGGCTCGACTCTCATTACATTCTTTTAATAACTTGCTGTGCGAGATTTCAATACTATTAATTTGCAAATGCTAATTTAACATTAAGATCTTTACATCATCTTCTTTCACATAGCCATGTGTCTAAGCGTACTACTATACTAGGGGGTGCACCATAAAAATAAACTTGCTCGGATTTTAAAAATTTTTGTACCATTGTTTTCTATAGACTGTGAGAATTTTCGCAATACCGAAAATTCTCACAGTCTATAGAAAAATTTGTCATACCTTTTTGGAAAGATCAGTGAGTTTCGCAGCTAGGTGCCATATTTGATGGTGCGCGGCTTTTGGAGCAAAATTAGCTGTAAAAGTCGCGTAATTTGACCAAATTTGACCAAATTCGTTGATTTTTGTCGTATTATTTGGATATATCTTCAGTTCCTTGAATAAGATCATTCTGAAAATTGGCGACGACCTTCCAATAGAGCTTTCACAACTGTCCGAAAAATTTGGTGGATATCGGAGTTGATATAGTGATCAAAATGGGGCAAAATACGCTGCTTTTAGCCGTAACATAATGTCTGATGGTTGGATATGCTTTAAACTTTTCGGACACTTTCCTTGTAAGTCTATGAGTAAGCTTACCACTAAGGTAACCTTGATCTAACGTAAAATAATAATCGTTTTGCAACGTTAAAAATAAAACCTATAACCAACGTTAGATATTTAACATTTAACAACGTTTTATATGTAACCTACATACAACGTTCAAATGTAGTTGAATTTTAAACTCTGCTTATAGTTACTTAGTTAGTAAGGTAACCTTGATCTGACGTCAAATAATAAACGTTTTGCAACGTTAAAAATAAAACCTATAACCAACGTTAGATATTTAACGTTTAACAACTATAGCCATAGCTATAGCTGTCGCCGCGATATCTAGCGCTAGATAGCGCTATCTAGCGCTATCTAGCGCTATCTAGCGTTAACTGTCAAAAACCGATATTCTACGCTAGATAGCGCTATCTAGCGCTATCTAGCGTTATCTAGCGGAGAATGTCGGTTTGTGACAGTTTACGCTAGATAGCGCTATCTAGCGCTAGCTGTCGCCGCGATATCTAGCGCTAGATAGCGCTATCTAGCGCTATCTAGCGTAAACTGTCACAAACCGACATTCTCCGTTAGATAGCGCCAGATATCGCCAGATAGCGCTAGATAGCGCTGCGTCAGATGTCGTTGCGACATATAGCGTTAGATAGCGCTAGATACCGCTAGATGTCGCAAAAAAAAGGGCGGAAATTTTATGAAAATAGCGCTATCTGTCGCCTGGCGTCAGTGCTGCGTGCTTAGCGTCATCTAGCGTCATCTAGCGTCATCTAGCGTCATATAGCGTCATATAGCGCTAGATAGCGCTAGATAGCGCTAGATAGCGCTAGATGGCGCTAGATAGCGACATTCGAAAGGTGCCGTGCACTTAGCGACAATGTCGCTAATTGGCGTCATCTAGCGTCATCTAGCGTCATCTAGCGTCATCTATCATCATCTGGCGATATTTCACGCTAGATGACGCCAGATGACGCTAGATGACGTCATATGTCGGATTTCAACTATCAGTAAAGGTCCCTGAAAACAAGTTGTATACATTACAAACATTTACATGCATCGTAATATGTACATTGACATTATAATTCACTATCATGCCACGTGACTACTAGTTTTAACATGACACAATTGACGTGTATGATCACGTGAAACATTGCACGTTACAGGTGACATCACTCTATGGAACGAACATGAGCATGAAGGTAGCTGCGCAAGTGATGGACACAAGGCACCTGTTAATATCTTGTCTTGGAGCAGCAACGGTACACGACTCATATCAGGAGATGAGGTACTTTCACTTTCACTTTCACTTTTATGTGTTTGTAATACGACTCATTTCAGGATATGTGGCACTATTTTACTGTTTTTGTCTGTTTGTTTGTAACAAGAGTCATATCAAGAAACGGTATCCAAGGCTGAGCTACAGAAGGTGTAACTGTAAACTTGCTATCACCTTCAAAATATGAAATCCCCTAATGAGACACACACACACTCTCTCTCTCTCTCTCTTGAAATTATTCTGAAAAGCGAGGTAGCCCAACATCAGATGGAAAAGTTTTAGAAGTTCTGTCGTTCTGAACTGGGTTTTAACTTTACAAACAGAGAAATAGATTCGAAAAATATGTTAAATGTTAGCCATTTTACTTACTTACATATTTCGTTACTTCGTTGAGTTCATCCGTGGAGCCGGAAGGGTCATCAGATATCTGACCACATGGATGGCAAGTAGTCAACCAGTGAGTTTGACCAACTGCAGCTGTAGCCGGCGACCGGAGCGTTGTCCGGTATCAAAGCAAGAAAATTCGACAAACTACACTTAAACATGTCAAAGGATGAATCAGCCTTTACTGTGTGAGGCACTTTGTTCCACAGCTTCGGTCCTTGAACTGCAAAAGACCTGTTGTACAGTGACTGGGGTCACTCTCATTGACTTTGACAATGAGGGTATGACAGCTACATCACCTTGTCTTGGGGTCACCTTGAACTTGATATCACAGCAGTTTGGTACCATATTATGGAGAATCTTCCACATCATCGGGATGATATACCTCTCCCGTCTGCGCTATAGAGACATCAATAAAAATTACCATAATAAAAATTAGTTGATTATCGCGATAATTCTCGAAAATTGTCGCGATAATCGATAACAAAAGCACCAAATTTGAAAGCTTTTGTCCAAAATTCTATCAAATTTCAATATTTTTGAAGAAGACTAACTTTAAGTGAAAGATATAGTTCAATATCTGTTGAATAGTGGATACTAAGTAAAAAGACCTCCATGAACAAAATTGCACAAATCTCGGTTCGGGATACTAGCCAAAATGACTTTTAAATAACTCCTTCAGTTTTCAATATTTTTGCATAGAATTTTCGGAATTGATTAAAATTGCATTTCAAGCTTATTGTGTGCAGCAATTTTTGATTTAGGCTTGCAAAAAGATAGGTATATTAAAGTATATTAAAGAATATTAAAGTATATTAAATTATATTAAAGTATATTAAAGTATATTAAAGTATATTAAAGTATATTAAAGTATATTAAAGTATATTAAAGTATATTAAAGTATATTAAAGTATATTAAAGTATATTAAAGTATATTAAAGTATATTAAAGTATATTAAAGTATATTAAAGTATATTAAAGTATATTAAAGTATATTAAAGTATATTAAAGTATATTAAAGTATATTAAAGTATATTAAAGTATCCCCCTCCCCCCCCCCCCAACAATATTACCCTCCCCCAGCGCGGTGTTATGATTGCGTGGCGATGCGACTCTAAAGGACAACTACACCAGCTACAAAACTACCAGAAGAGAAGCAGCTACACTCACTGTACCTTTAGACCTGTCCCCGGAGGACAGGATCCCTTTTACAAGTTTGTTGTCTTCACTTACACTTTCACTTTTACTTTTATAAATAATAAACAAATTCAGATTTAACAGAATTTATGAATTAGAGTTGCAAATTCGTCGTCATATATGTATTATGTAGATGGCTTTTCTTTGAAATAAAAAAGTAAACATTTCACTGTACTATGTCTATAGTTTACTTTACTAGAAGTATACTATAAGTAGTTCACTGTGCCTTTACTTCACTGCTGCACTGTATATTATTTCAGTAACTACACCGCACTAGCACGCGCTGCCTTTACTTCACTACTGCACTGTATTTATTTCAGTAACTACACCGCACTAGCACGTGCTGCCTTAACTTCACTGCTGCACTGTATATTATTTCAGTAACTACACCGCGCTAGCACGCGCTGCCTTTATTTCACTGCTGCACTGTATATTATTTCAGTAACTACACCGCACTAGCACGCGCTGCCTTTACTTCACTACTGCACTGTATATTATTTCAGTAACTACCTTACAAGACTTTTTTGTGGCGGACCAATTTGCGACGACCGAAATTTTGGCGGTCTGATTATATGGCGAAATTGAACAAAAACCGTCACATTTCGGACGTCACAGAAAATAAGGGTATTTTTCATCATTTTTTGTGACAGTAAGCAGTAAGGAAATTTCTGAAATGCGGTAAAATCATATTCAAACTTAGTCTGTATTAAGACTGTAAGACTTTCATGTTAGCACATACATGTATTTTAATGCAAATTTAAACTGTATTGCTTGACATTCAATTCGTCATTGGTGTGGTGATAATTTGTCCCAAGATGCCAGAATTTATTTATTTATTTTACTTGATATTACTTTTTAGAAACAAAATAAAGCAGTGAAGGCACAGTCATTGAAATAAGCTAAAAGATAATGCGACGGATTCTATTACGACGACCGAAATTTTGACGGTCCGAAAATATGGCGAAATTTTCGGAAAACCGCCACATTTCGTACGTTATAAATATGTCTTGTAAGGTACACCGCACTAGCACGCACTGCCTTTACTTCACTACTGCACTGTATATTATTTCAGTAACTACACGGTGCTAGCACGTGCTACCTTTACTTCACTGCTGCACTGTTCATTATTTCAGTAACTACACCGCGCTAGCACGTGCTACCTTTACTGCACTACTGCACTGTATATTATTTCAGTAACTACACCGCACTAGCACGCGCTAGCACGCGCTACCTTTACTTCATTGCTGCACTGTGTATTATTTCAGTAACTACACCGCGCTAGCATGCGCTACCTTTACTGCACTACTGCACTGTGTATTATTTCAGTAACTACACCGCGCTAGCACGCGCTGCCGTGGAGGGAGATGAGACTGCTTTAGACATGTTCGGAACTTGGAACAAAAGTGGGATGGGTAATTCCTTATTGTCTCAGGTAAACTGTCATTTTGACTTCTACTATAAGTACTACATAACATTATGTTATTCTAACGTTAATTTAAATATTTTTCAAATCTGATTTGAAAAGTTTCTAGCTCCATCGTCTGTACATTAATTTGTTAATTAATCGTTAATTAGGCAAGTTAATCAGTTAATTAATTAGTTAATTAAGAAAGTTAATGATTTAATTAATTGTTAATTAGAAAAATTAATATGTTAATAAATTGTTAACGTGGTAACTGTGTAGCCTGGTCAGATGTACGCGGCGGAGTCACTGAGTTGTTACATAGGGTCTGAGGACGGGGTCATCTTCCACATAGATGAGAAACTGGTGTTGAGAGAGTGTTCTAACGTGGAAACTATGATAAAAGCCATGTTGATATACGAGGCTAAGAACATCCTGGTGGTGGTAACTACGACCATGATGTTAATTCAATTTAGTTGTGCTGCTGATGGGTCACTCACTGAACTGATGAAGGTGAGTAGTATAATAGTATAGTAACCATGGTAACAGTGTAGTATATACTCTGATTTTAGCAACGTGACCTTCGTTATCTTTCGTAGTTCTTAAAAATATTGTTTACAAATCGGCATCACAATAAAATAAAATAAATCGAATAAATTGTAATAAATAGAATAAATTTTAATAATTCCTGAACTAGCAAATCGGCATCACAACGAATGATTCCCTGAACAATATCTCCCCTGACAGGTGAAGCTGAGTGGTAAGAGCTCTATCACGTGCGTAGTGTGGACAGGACCAGGTCTGATGGCTACAGTAGCTGGGGAGGATGTTGTCAGGCTGTGGGATCTGGATAAGGACAACAACTTCTCTCTGGGGGGAGCACTTGATCAGATCAACTGTCTCAGTTACAGTGCTAGCAAGAGAATATTAGCTGGTAAGTTGTATTTTTAAGTGTCCTAATACTTAAGATTATTGGCTGTCAGGGGGAACATGTTAGTTATACAAACGACAATTGCAAAACCACACAATTTATACTCAACTAAAACACTGTATTTACTGCCCACAGCGCTGTTTACTAATAACCTAACTATTACTAATTACATAATTACCTTACTCGGGATTATTACGACGGGTTTATTAACGACCGGTTAAAATATGGTTCGGGAAAAATATGGCGAAATTGCTCAAAACCCACCACATTTTCCCGGTCGCCATTTTACCGGTGTCCAACCTTTCAATTATAGATTCAAAAATTTTGTCTCAGATGTAAATTTCCTTATTAAAGATAAGCAAGTTTAGAAATTTTCGAATTGCTAAAACTTGTGAAACAAGTCGAATTATCAATAATTGTTGAAAGTAGACAGAAATAATGACTCGTGGTTAATCAAACTAGATGGAAAATAATTTTTAACATTTGAAGCGTAACAACCAGATCGATATTAAGATAAAGGGAGAGCTGTTTAGTCTTCCAATAAGTTGTAATCATCTTCGTTATCTTCATCTGGATCATCCCTTTCATCAGTTTTAATTAATTCAAGTTTTAATTTAACTGTTACTTTTACTTTGAGTCCTATTTCATTATGTAGAGATAGTCAATACCTAAGAAATTAAAAATTGGCCTATTTAAATCAAATTTGACAATAAGGATATATGACAAGAATTGGGCAAAAAGGTGAATTTTTTGCAATTTTAGCCAAATGAAGTCGAAAAACCTACAATATGACAAGTGTCCCAATAGTCTTCTTTAGTGAATATAAGACAACGATTAAAATATGAGCACCCATACCCCTTGGGAACCCTAAAAGCTGAGTAGGCGGGCTTATTAACGACCGGTGAAAATGTGGTTCGGGAAAAATATGGCGAAGTTACCCTAAACCCACCACTTTATCCCGGTCATAATAATCCCGAGTAAGGTAGTTCTAATCACTAAGTCACACAGGAGGACTAGTGAACGGTAAGATAGCAATGTGGCAGCACAGACCCGGTACATTTGCCCAGGAGCACTGGATAGTCCTGCCTACAATTGACCTGAGTGACAGTTTCATTCAGATACAGTGGAGTCCTGCTCACAGCTTGCTGGCTGCTAATAATATCAGTGATGTTGTGATACTTAACGAGCAGCCTATCAGCACTAGCATCAGTGTTCAGGTTACAGTGACATTTACTTTAGTTTTAAGTGGTTTATTCCTCACTAAATCTGGATGTCAAATTTAATATTTATTTGGGGTGAGAACTTGTTATTTTCATAATATTGTATCGTGACAAACGTGGAAACAGTAACCACAAAATCAGTAACCATAGTAACCATACTAACAATGGCAATTGTAACACACCTCCCTTTTGTGCAGAGCGCGGTAGTACAGATCAGTCCTTACCACGTGCAACTAGAGACACTAGATCCACCCAACATCCTCTCTATCCGCACTGATGTTCACATACGGGGCGTGTGTAACAGTGAGGACCACGTGGTATTGTGGAACAGCAAGAAGATTGTTGTGTATGAGATTAACGAGGAGAAGAACTTTGCTAGACTTGCTGGTTAGTTCCTGAGTTCCTGCCACTTTTCTGATATATCTATTACAAATTTGTACATGGGTCATGGTTACTTGATATTACAAATGCAGGAGAGGAAAATTGTACGATTTTGCAAACGCTGCAACTCTTAACCGACCCCTATATTAACTATTATTAACTGTTATCAGGCACGTTTGATATAGACTCACCCCTCACTGCAATCTACCAGCAGACCATCTTCACTGCTGAGACCACCACTATTACTGCTAGGAACTTCCAGGTTCATATATTATATCGTCTTAGCTTTCAATTTCTATATTAATCTAGAATCTGTTCGTATCGCACTGTAACACTGTTACACTAAAGAACTGGAACAGTGTTACACTAAAGAAATGTAACAATGCAATAAAGTAAAATTGTACCACTGTAACAATATAATATTGTAATACTATAACACTGTAGCACTGTAACACTGTAACACTGTAACACTGTAACACTGTAACACTGTAACACTGTAACATTATAATACTGTAACATTATAATACTGTAACATTATAATACTGTAACACTGTAACATTATAATACTGTAACACTGTGACATTCTAACAGGGTACGATAAAGCAGACAATGAACCTAGCAGAACAGGAGGGTATCCCCATCAGTATAGACATATGTGGACATTACCTGGTAGTTGCTACTGACAACGGCTTTGTGAAGGGTTGGGACATCTCTCGTAGGTACGTATAGTAGACTGTACTTATAGGTGCTATCTATCAATATCAATACTGCTACCATAAATACTTGAGGGTGGCACACAAATATTTAATTTAAATGTGGGTAAATAGAGTCCTCACTACAAATCTCAATACTTTCAGAGAATCCAGACAGTACATCTCCCCAAAGAACATATCGGAGAGTCTGCCCGATACCAGCTTAGTCACGGATGTAAAGGTGAACTGTAACGGGACCAAGATAGCAATACAACTCAAAAAGGTAAGAGGATTGGTTCCATGTTTAGCTGGGAGTCAGGGTTTTGTTGGGGAGAATCTTAGATTGTAGTGTGCTGAAATGCTATCACTTAGTAGTGTGCTGAAATGCTATCACTTAGTGGTGTACTGAAATGCTATCACTTTAATGGAATTGTTGGAATGTTGACTGGTAAAGTTTATGTTTACTCTATAATGGCTGTAGATATTAAAGTAACTAGGTAAACTAAAAGATACTTAAACTTGGTAAACTAAAAGATATGATGAATGTTGACTAAGTTCCGCTCTGCAGGTGAACGAAGAGCCTGATTCTAGGCTGTTAATCTGGTATGTAGAGCAAGATATCTTGTTGGGGTACGACTTTTCCGCGGGACAAACTATTCAGCCTATCAGCGACAACGGCAGCGCTGGTTAGTTCACATTTGTTAGCATTGAAAACTTTAAATAATTGTTGCTGCTAGTAGCATAGTTTCAATTTTGCATTCTGTGGTTATCTTCTCATATTTTATGGTATGTAGTTATGATAACATCCGAATTTTGAAAGGCTGTTTATTCTTCACCAATCACCATCAAGCGTAGTTTTTTAGTAAAAATGAAATAACTTTTGTTTAAAACAGACATGGACTACGAGGATCTCATTACCGGGTGTTTTGTAAATCCCGATGAGAAAACTGGTGAGACCATGGTGACGTCTTATATTCCGTTGTTGTGCCTGTTAATGTACCATGTAACATGTGATATTGTCGTATGTACTATATACATGGAACTCTGCCGTCGTCTGATAGAAAATTGTCGAACTTTTGCTGTGTCAGTGTAGTTGCCAGTTTTCTCCAGTTTATTTAGCTGATATACCTGGTGTAATTAATCTATCATCGGTTTAAAGACTCGGGGAATGTAAATGTTAACCATAACGGCTGTTAAAATTTATAACCTACCATATTACCTATTGTGTGACTATAGTAACCGTGTCGTTTTCACCTTCACTGTTCACATGACTGTTTGTTCAGGAGTGGAAGCAGCAGCAGTAGAGCAGAGCAACTCGGAGGACGTCTCCAGGCGGTACCCCAAGGAAGTGCTCTGGGACCCTCTAGACCCCCGGCTACTTGTGGTACAGGCTTCTCCTCTGTCAGTGGAGATTAATGAGAAAACTCACATCAAGAAACCCACCCCTTCTGGTAACATATTGTTTATTATATTTTAACCTATTTCTTGTCACGTCTCGTATAAAATATTAAATATCAAAGTTTTAGCACTGATTCTAACGATTTTAGAGCATTTTAAGATTAGTACCGATGTACCAAGAACTAACAACACAACATAATATGAAGTTATCATTGTTTCTAAATTCCCTTTCTATTCGCTGAACTCTCAGTGATAAAACGAAGGATAACACCATATATACTATAATATGTCACGTGACACTTTTGTAACAATAACAGGTGTGTTCCGGACCAAGTCCTCCGCGGAGAAGACGCCAGAGTTGGATGATAGGATTGTTTCCCTGTTCGCTACCTCCGATAACGGAGTGCTCCTTCATGACAGCTTTCCCATGGAGCCTGGCTTTTACAGTTAGTAACCCGGTTCCTTATAGTTTGGTAACCTGGTTAGTAACCTGGTTAGTAACCTGGTTAGTAACCTGGTTAGTAACCTGGTTAGTAACCTGGTTAGTAACCTGGTTAGTAACCTGGTTAGTAACCTGGTTAGTAATCTGGTTAGTAACCTGGTTAGTAACCTGGTTAGTAACCTGGTTAGTAACCTGGTTAGTAACCTGGTTAGTAACCTGGTTAGTAACCTGGCTAGTAACCTGGCTAGTAACCTGGCTAGTAACCGGCAATACCTGTAACCTTTTTAGTAAAATAATTTACTATTCAACTTGCGACATCACATAATAACGAGATAATTGAAATGTTGATTACGTTGCTAGGTTATCATAATAATATTTTTCAGAGTTGTTGGGTGTAAGCGTACCTTCGTTTTACTTTATATTGCAGGTGAGATGTTTCAAATTTCTAAGTTAATAGTTTGCTTAATCATCTGCAACATAAACACTAGCACTAGTCGTAAAATGATGTCCACATATTATATGTTTAACATTAATATGTTAAATGTTTATGTTGCGGATGATTACCTTCGAATATTACCCTCGATTGTTTCTTTCGATTTCTGCTGACCTTTCTTCGACTTTGTCCAACGTTCATAAAAATAGTTCTCAATAATGATATGCTTTTTCGTTCATCATGGTTATCTTCATAAAGCGGTACTGTCATGATATCATCAACCTCTCTCAACCCTTTTGCATGCATCTTCTCACGCTGCACGTGCAATGCACATTCCTTCTTTATGCAACATGTGGCATGATTCTCTTAGCTGCGCACGGTGCATATTTCTTAAGCTCCTCGATGTTAGTTTTCCAGACACACGTGTATTTATTTCACTGTTTTGATGTCTTGGCGCGTGTTTCACAGAAACTGCACGGGTCTTGGCGCGTGTTTCACAGAAACTGCACGGGTCTTGGCGCGTGTTTCACAGAAACTGCACGTGTCTTGGCGCGTGTTTCACAGAAACTGCACGGGTCTTGGCGCGTGTTTCACAGAAACTGCACGTGTCTTGGCGCGTGTTTCACAGAAACTGCACGTGTCTTGGCACGTGTTTCACAGAAACTGCACGTTCGCGCTGATTGCCAGCACCATAATCTTGTTACATTTGTTAACTTAGATTATTGAATGTTGTGTTGAATATTTCTCTATTAATGAATGTATGTATAGCCCGAAGATATACAGAAAGCAGATGGCACGGTCAGTACAGTGTCCAATGGGGAAACAACAGGGGAGGTGGGTTTAGATGATTAGATAATTACGTAATTACATTAGATACTTACATCAGATAATTACATTAGATACATCAGACAATTACATTAGATAATTACATTAGATAATTACATTAGATAATTACATTAGACAATTACATTAGATAATACGTTCCAATTTTTATTTTTATTCAAAAAACTTACATTTGTCCCACGTCATAGAAATGAAGTTCTTTTCGAGATATCAAAAGATCGTGTTTTAGATCTAAAAGCATTAATTGCTAAGATACGATAATTACATAATTACATAATTACATAATTACATAATTACATAATTACGATAAAATCACAATAAACTAACATTGTTAAACTGTGATGCCCTCAGACGCGGACAGAAGGGCTGAAGGAGAGAGTGTCTGCTGTTACGATGAGAAACTTTGTCGGACTTGAGAAGTCTAACCTTGAGGTATATTATTTCTCCTAGCTGCCAATCACTTATATTAATTTATCTCTCCTTCAGTGAGATCTAAATTTGTTTACAAACAGTTTTCCTTTAGTTTTAAAATTTTAGAATAATCCTGCATAAATTTAGCTGATACCTATAAATTAAGATAAATTTAATATCAATTCTAATAATAACTCCATTATTTGTTCTTGCAGGTGAGGCAGGCAATGTTGGATTTCGCTTATCATTTGACAATAGGAAACCTGGACGAAGCTTTTAAAGCCATCAAACTCATCAAAAGGTAATATTATGTCAATAAATAGCAAATAACAAAATATATTAAATAGTGTTCACTGAACTCATATAATAATTTAATCTGTAAACAATGTTCAATGAACACCCTTAACTTGTGACTTGACTGTCAACCACGTGACAGTCAACCACGTGACTGTCACAGTCAACCACGTGACTGTCAACCGCGTGACTGTCAACCACCTGACTGTCAAACACGTGACAGTCAACCACGTGACAGTCAACCACGTGACAGTCAACCACGTGACAGTCAACCACCGTGACTGTCAACCACGTGACTGTCAACCACCTGACTGTCAACCACCTGACTGTCAACCACCTGACTGTCAAACACGTGACAGTCAACCACGTGACAGTCAAACACGTGACAGTCAAACACGTGACAGTCAACCACGTGACAGTCAACCACGTGACAGTCAACCACGTGACAGTCAACCACGTGACAGTCAACCACGTGACAGTCAACCACGTGACAGTCAACCACGTGACAGTCAACCACGTGACAGTCAACCACGTGACAGTCAACCACGTGACTGTCAACCACCTGACTGATAACCACCCTCCAGTGAGACGGTGTGGGAGAACATGGCTAAGATGTGCGTGAAGACTAGAAGACTAGACGTAGCCGCACTTTGTCTGGGACACATGGGCCACGCCAGAGGAGCGCAAGCGCTACGTGACTGTGCGCACGAGACAGAACTTAATGCACGTGTCGCAATGCTGGCTATACAACTGGGAATGTTGGTAAGAGCTTTAAATAAGGTCCCCGGCCCCATTAAATAAGGTGGATACTGGCGGGGAGGTGTTTAATTGCTTAGTAGATATGTTAACGAGAGATCGATAATATGATATTACCTCATTCACTCGTTTTTCCCGCAATCAATTTTTTTCCCTGCTCTTGCCGAAGGCAAAAAGATCGTAGGGAATAAGTAATCGGGTTTGGATATATGAGGTGGCCCGATGGACCTGCGATGATGACAAAAGTCTGCTCCTTCGAAATATAGACCACTCCCCTATAATTAAGTGTATAGGAAGCGTCTGTTATGCTGCGCGCGACGCTAGCCATGTGTTAATTAATTACAGTGAAATTCCTCCTTCGCAAAGTTATTTTCCGCAATTTTCTGGATTCATTTATTGTTGATGCGCGGCGCTGCATTGGTCAAATAAATTGTCAATTTTTACCATGCACGAATCCCACTCATTTATAAAAAACATAGTATGTAAATATGGTGCACTTTTTTCCAGTCACATTTTTCACTCAAAAGAATTAATGGTACAAGTGCATGGTAGGGAAAATTGATCGTGCGTGGTTTAACCGCGGCGAAATTCTTGTTAAAATATGTAATGTACACAGTACAGGGTGAGTTGAAAATAATGTTTGGATTTTAAATGGCTCTAATTTCTGAGATAAAATAAAAAATCATTCCATTTTCGTACTTAGTGTAATGCTCAAGGGAATGGTTTTTTCGCTTAATATAGTAGTAATTAAAATAACCAACTTTACCAGGAAGAGGCAGAACAACTGTACACATCGTGTGGAAGATACGACCTGCTCAACAAACTGTACCAAGCAAACAACCAGTGGAGCAAAGCAATAGCAGTTGCGGAGAGACACGACAGGATCCACCTCCGCTCTACCTACTACAACTTTGCGCGTCACTGTGAACTCAGCGGCGATATCGGGGCTGCTATCAACGGGTTTATTATTGTTATCTTGATAACTTGGTTATCTTAGCGCGACCTGCTACAGAATACAGATTGATAACCCTGACTCTCTCTAAACTTCCAAAGCGCTAACCCTCATTCCTCACCCCAAATCTGTAACAAACCCCTGAAGAACTAACCAAATCTAGCCCCTGGATACAGAACGTCCTGGGACTTTCTTATCTAATAACTGGAAATCCCCCGGCTAACATTACAACAACTTGAATCTAACTACAAACTATTAATAAATACTAAGTAGCTCTAACTTAGACAGTTGTTAGAATCTAACTACTCCCCCCAGATACGAAAAAAGCGAGACACACAGGTTTGAAGTGCCGCGCATGCTGTTTGAAAACGTGCAGGAGCTTGAGGCGTACGTTATAAAGAGTAAAGATAAGAAGTTACTGGGATGGTGGGCACAGTATTTGGAGAGTAACGGGGAGATGGACTCTGCTCTCCAGTTCTACCAGGTTAGTAACTTAATTAGTTAATAATTAATTAAATAATTAACTAACTCTGCTCTTCAGTTTTATCAGGTTAGTAACTTAATTAGTTCATAACTAATTAACTAATTAAATAACTCTGCTCTCCAGTTTTATCAGGTTAGTAACTTAAATAGTTAATCAGGTTCATTAGTTTAATCAGGTTAATAACTCGATATTAATTGATAACTTATATTTTAATGCTTGTAATAATAATAATACATCAAACAAGTTAAACAATCAAAATAGGCGGGTAGACGAATCGTTTCATGGTATATAATAATCGTTTCTAATAATTGCCAAAATTCAAATTCATAACGTCAAATTTCCCGTAAAATTGTTCTGGCTATGGTGGAGATGTCGGCGTACATAACTTCAAGTTCTTACTTCAGTGATTGATGTTCACTAAATGTCACTAACCATCCTCTTGCACCGCCTTCTCTCCTGAAAATATGTTCACTTATTCACGAATTCGCTGACATAAATTTACTAAAAGAAGCAAATAAAATTAAATAAAGCAACAAGTTGTTCCTCACAATAATAATATTGAAAGTAAATTCTAACCTGGAAGTTGACTGACAGGTTCTGGTTTTTTAACGCCAGATAAAAGCCTAACAGCGGATATCCTCCTCACAGCGGAGCCCCATCCAGGTCCTACGTCCGCTCCTGGCACGAACTTTTCATAGTACTCCTGCGAGTCTTCTCCAAGCACCTGTGTTCAAATATTTACTTGGAAAATTTCGTAAAACTTATTGAACAATAGATTCTACTATGAAAAATGTCAAATTAAATAGAATAATAGGACATTTCAATCTTAAATTGCTGATATCTATCGAAAACTGATACTCATCAAAACACTGCATTTTTTCTGATAAGAGCACCAATGCAGTTAAGTAGTTGACAATTCCAAACTAACGTATGCCATGGATTCAGGAAGCTCCTCAATTATTTTAGCGGGAGACCCAGCCCACCTGGTGAATGGTGGCATGACTGTATCGTCCTTCACTATTGCTCCTTCATCAACTACCACACAGTCTTTAACTATACATCGCCTTCCTACAAGGTATTGGTAAAGCGGAGAATTTGAAGTGGAAAAAACCATTTTCATGAGAGTGAGCGTTGACAGAGCTCTCCAGAGGCACGTATTAGGTGCGGTAGAAAATCGAAATTATGCGGTACCGCACCCGACTATAAAGGTAAAATGTGCGGTAAGGTGCGGTAAATGTTTACCAATTATGCGGCAAATGTGCGACGATTTTTTCGAAATTTGTGCGGGAATTGTGCGGTTTTCTTTTGCATTTTCTGAAGGACTTTGGAAATTCTAAACGTATAACCGCCGCTCTTATCAAAAATAGGTCTGTTTATGTGTTACTGAGGGTGTAGTTCTTTACTAAGACCATGATTGAACCTATATTGAGATTCAATTATCTGAGAACAGTGACTTGATCTGGTAGAGATCAGGAGACAGTTATTTGAAGACGCCTCTTGATAGAGTCGATCAGATCCCATACGTGATCGCAAATATGTGACACGCTTGTTGGCATTGATCGTCAGTACTTGTAAACCATTCGATCCAAGATCCATTAAGCCCACTATATAAAGCCAACGCTACAACGAATAGAGCTCATTACCCGATAAAAGGGCTGCAAGTATGATCGAAGTACGGTAACGACGAGGGTTCCATAACGGTCTGGGTCACGGTCCCGAAAGGGCCTCGGTCACGTTCCCGAAAGGGCCTGGGTCATGGTCCCGAAAGGGCATGGGTCACGTGGTAACTGGGTCACGTGGCCTAGGTCACGGTCCCGACAGGGCCTGGGTCAGGGTCCCGAAAGGGCCTGGGTGACGTGGTAACTGGGTCACGTGGCCGAGGTATGAATTCCAAACGGGCCTGGGTCACGGTCCCGAAAGGGCCTGGGTAACGGTCCCGAAAGGGCCTGGGTCACGGTCCCGAAAGGGCCTGGGTCAGGGTCCCGAAAGGGCCTGGGTCACCGGTCACGTGGTAACTGGGTCACGTGGCCTAGGTATGAGTTTCAAAAGGGCCTGGGTCAGGGTCCCAAAAGGGCCTGAGTCACGGTCCTAAAAGGGCCTGAGTCACGGTCCTAAAAGGGCCCGACTTTTAACATGTTTTGGTTTTTACACTCGAAAATATTGACGCGAAAATTTCAAAATTATGCGAAATTACGTGGAAAATGCTAGATTATGCGGAAATATGCAGAAAATTACAAAGTGTGCGGAAAACAATAAATTATGCGGAAATGTGCGGAAAACGGTAAATTGTGCGATCCCGCACCCATCGCACCTAATATGTGCCTCTGGAGCTCTCAAACGCTCAAACGGTTCTATCTGAACTGATATCGTGTATTCCAGCAAACTAGTAATTAAAGTAGAGTGCTAGATTTCAGCAAACTACTCAAAGTAGAGTGCTAGATTGCAGCAAACTACTTAAAGTAGAGTGCTAGATTGCAGCAAACTAGTTAAAGTAGAGCGCTAGATTGCAGACTTCCACTATGAACATTGTATCTTTAGAGCATTCTCTGATACTCTGATAAAATTAAAAGCGGAAACTGACCGATGTAGCAGTTTTTGCCGAATCTGATGAAGTTTCCAACGGTAGCAGCATGTACCACGGTCCCTTCCCCCACAAGACAGCAGTCTCCTAGTTGTATCGGGAAGAATGCACACCCTGGGGGGTTGTGTGGTGAATCACAGTATCAACATTCTTATCATATTTTAGTTAAACATAGTTAGTTTTTAATTTTTGGAGAGTAGTTAGTTAAAATGAACTCAAATATTGATATTTTTTCTATATACAGGGTGTTTTAAGACTCTTGTCCAAGTTTGAAATTATAATTTTTCTATTTTATGTATTTAAACGAAATTAAATCGGCTGCAGGACAAGAAATAAAAGATAAAAACCTTTAATAAACTTTTTGAAGGGCGGTCTAATGACTACTCCTTCCTCTAGAGTACAGTATTTACCAAGCTTGATATTTGCTAAATCCCCACGTATCATGCAACCTGAAAACAAAAACCTTCAAACGCCAAGCACTGACTCTTGACAGGTTCAAAATCAATTCATTTCTAATTCCCGAAGTAATTCATTTACTAATTCGACTCATGTGAAACGAATAGAAATAATAAATTAGCAAGTTAGCAGTACACTACCAGCCTTGATGATAGTCTTCCCATTGATGACAATATTCTGAGATCCACAGAGAACACTCCGTCTTGATACTTTATTACCGCTCGCTTAGAAAATCGTAAGAAAGTCAACATCGAACAAACTATTACATTCAGCATCACAAACGATGATCGAAAAAGATGATGACGTGTCAAAAAATATGCTTCACCTCCCCACCAGAATCCACATGTATAATTGGTATAACATTCTACTCTTGAATTACCAGTGGTGATAAACTCTTGTTTATTGTAAGTGAAGATCTCCCGTTCCACTTCATAACTAGCCAGCATTTTCCCGGTAGTTGTGCGGTAGTTGTGCGGTAGTTGTGCGGTAGTTGTGCGGTAGTTGTGCGGTAGTTGTGCGGTAGTTGTGCGGTCTCAAGCGTTGGGAAATATTCTGGATCAGTGCGATGGGAGCGTCTTGTGAAAGGAGTTTATCGTTTAAAACAAAGTTGATTACTGGCAAGTTAAGCAATGAAAACCGTCCGCTTGGAGTTACTTCAGTACATTCAGTACATTCAGTAAGTGTTACTCCAGTCGCGTCGTGAACTCCCTTTTCCTCAATTAGTGTCCCGGAAAATGGTTAATTAGGTATTACAAATTGATTGTATGCAATTATACTTTTTGGGCTGAGCAACGTGTTTATGATAAGAACTATAAGATGTATTAGTATTTAGTAGTATTACAGAATTTACGTTGAATCAATTTTAAAGCGTAGCCATTAATATTAATTTCAAAGAAAATCCAGTCGTAAATGTGAGCTAATAATGACGTATTATATAGCACGAAAACGCACATTGATAATCTGTTTTAATCTGTATTAATCTGTAATATAGCTTAATCATTATTTACAGGCAGCTGAAGATATAATGTCGTTTGTAAGGATATGGTGCTACTGTGGGAGGTTTGACGAGGCCATCTCCATCGCTTCTAATACTAACGACAGGTTAACTTATTAACTCATTAACTTATTAACTTATTTTAACTTATTGACTTATTAACTTTATAAAGAGCTTGGTTATTATACAACATAAATTTCAAATTCATTACAAAATGTTAGATAATATTACTAGTGGTTTTGTTCAGGGCGGCGTGTTACCACTTAGCAAGACAGCTGGAGAACCAGGAGAGATTTGCTGAAGCAGTGCAGTTTTACGGCAAAGCTCAGGCTTACACTAACGCTACCAGAATATGTAGAGCTAATCAGCTGGACAGCGAACTTATTAGCTACGCTATGTACAGGTTAGTAACTAGTTACCACCGTAAGTAACCACTCAGCTATATATACTGTACAAGTTAGTTACTAGTTACCACCGTAAGTAACCACTCAGCTACGCCATGTACAGGTTAGTTACTAGTTACCACCGTAAGTAACCACTCAGCTACGCCATGTACAGGTTAGTAACTAGTTACCACCGTAAGTAACCACTCAGATACGCCATGTACAGGTTAGTAACTAGTTACCACCGTAATCTAAGTAAACTATAGGTAAAAATATAATATTAATCATAAGCTAAAATGTACTAATCTTTGTATTCTAAATGGGGAAAAAGAAGAAACATTGTCAGTCAGTCGAGAAAATTGTCAGTCAGGCTATATGGCAGCTTTGTAGATGTTGAGACTATATGCTAGTAGTGGTCCCAGGCTTGCGACTGGAATTGCGGTGTTAAATCGATTTAATGGTACCAACGATCCACCTCCCACTTGTTGTTTGGTACTTAGCATTAATAATGTTAGCTGTAGCCATTTATAGCAAGAATCTTAAAACTAAAGGGGATGACAAGGAAAAGAGGAAGGAAAAAGAATAACGGGACAAACAATTAATTAAAGTATTTATAGGAGCATTAGATATTGTAATTACAAGCTTCAATAATAAATCACTGACTAAAACTTCTAATTAAAATGACACTTGGTACGCTCGCCCATTTTCACTGGTCAGTCTGAACTTCGGTTTAGCACGTTGTACACTTATTCACCTAAGTTTCAGAATTTGTTCAGTTTAGCAGAGTTAGTACCCGTGTTTCAATAAATCAAAAGATATCAGGGGAGTTCTTTAATAATGTTACGGTCATCTAGAATACCGAACTTCCTGAAAACGTTATCATATTTCCTCAGACAACGTTTAATGCCTTTAATCAGTCTATCACGGCTATATCCTCTATCAATTAGAATTTTGAATATTTTGTGAAGATGGGAGGTAAAGATATCCAATCTAGTGCAAACATTACCATATCTAAGAACTTGACTTGAAAAAACGTTGTAGCCAACCTCGGTTGGGATGTTACTGTGAGGAAATGTAAGGGATACAACATGAAAATTAAAATCATCAGTTTTGTTATACACTGATATTTCTAGTCCTTCTGTGGAAATATTAATATTTAAATCAAGGTAGTTAATGATTTTATTATTGGAACCAGCTCGCTCCATCTCCAATGAATTAGGATAAATATCTTTAATCAATTTATGAAAGTAAAGGTAGTTAATAATAGATAAATCGTCAACATATCGTTTATTATTGGATAATATCTTTGCTAATCCCATTTTCTTTTCCTGAAGTAAACGTTTCATATAATTAAATTCCTTTTTGCCAACAGTGAGATCAGCTATAGGGGAACTTGAATTTCCACCCATAGGAATACCCTTGGTTTGTAACCACTCAGCTACGCTATGTACAGGTTAGTAACTAGTTACCACCGTAAGTAACCACTCAGCTATATATACTGTACAAGTTAGTTACTAGTTACCACCTTAAGTAACCACTCAGCTACGCTATGTACAGGTTAGTAACTAGTTACCACCGTAAGTAACCACTCAGCTATATATACTGTACAGGTTAGTTACTAGTTACCACCGTAAGTAACCACTCAGCTACGCTATGTACAGGTTAGTTACTAGTTACCACCGTAAGTAACCACTCAGCTAAGCTATGTACAGGTTAGTTACTAGTTAACACCGTAAGTAACCACTCAGCTACGCTATGTACATGCTAGTTACTAGTTACCACCGTAAGTAACGGCTCAGATACGCCATGTACATGTTAGTTACTAGTTACCACCGTAAGTAACCACTCAGCTACATACTGTACATGTTAGTTACTAGTTTCCACCGTAAGTAACCACCCAGCTACGCTATGTACAGGTTATTTACTAGTTTCCGCCGTAAGTAACCACTCAGCTACATACTGTACATGTTAGTTACTAGTTTCCACCGTAAGTAACCACCCAGCTACGCTATGTACAGGTTATTTACTAGTTTCCGCCGTAAGTAACCACTCAGAAACATACTGTACAGGTTAGTTACTAGTTACCACCGTAAGTAACCACTCTTCTCTATTAGGCTCATATTTTTATAACTCAATTATCACGACTTTAAATAAAAGTTCCATCAATATATCAAAATGACATTTATTAGGAAGAGCGTAAGATTTGACCTATTGAGAACAACAGTCATAGCTCTTAGAGGAGAGAGAGGGTTGAAAGGTAGTAGTGCAGTAAAAATAGCAGAATTAGATATAAATTTGGAGCCAGTTCTTTAAACTGGCTTACTTATACTATGTACTTAAAGGGTGTTTATAAATTTTATTTAGTTTTCTATTGAATTTATATTGAATTTTTATATAGGGTAATTGTTATATTATGTGTATATTGTTTGAATAATTTTTCTTGTCAAAAGGCCATAAAAGCAGCCAAAAAGGATATATCAAAATATAGTGTTATCTGAAAAACGAGAAGTCAGTCCATCTCAATTATTTTATTCACCCCCGTGTATGGTAAAACATGCTGTATCACAGCACGGAAGACGACATGACGATATGTGCACATTACTACGAAGAAACAGGCTCTAACTGGGATAAAGCGATAATGTTGTATCACAAAGCAGGCCAGGTTGGCAAGGCCCTGGAGCTGGCCTTTGAGCACCAGCAGTTCACTGCCCTGCAACACATCACTAGCAATCTGGATGATAGGTTGGTGAAGTTGGTTAATTTTATGTTAAAGTGGAAATGATCGGATATCATGATATATTAGGTGATATGAATGCATCCCAGTCGACCGTCTCCAATGTGAAAGCTTCATTTTCACTTTCATTACAATATCCACGGTGTGTTCATTTAATACTAGCATTATATTTAGGCAACATTTTATAAAATGTGATACGTTTTCTTACATTCGATCGGGTCTTTATTAATTGTTTGGTTTCAATCTTTAAAAAAGACACATAACCCATTATATATCACAGTGTCGAGCCAGAAACACTACACACTTGCGCTCAATTCTTCTTGGAACACCAACAATACAGCAAAGCTGTAGATCTGCTTTTACTTGCTAAGAAGTATCTAGAAGCTCTAGATATCTGTATAGATAAGCATATCTCGATAACAGAGGATTTGGCTGAGCAGATAAGTCCTGATAAGGATGCAGAACCCGAGTACAAGTTAGTTATCAATATTTTATTGGCTTTTACGATCTTGCAATTTCGATTTTAAAACAAACTTAAAGTTTGTTTGCTGCAATCAGTCTGTTATAGATTAACCTGCCGTGATGTTATTGATTTCGGGATATTCAGTTCTCTAGATACGATTCAAACGTTAAAATAAACCTTTCTTATTACTTAGATACATAATCTTTTAGGAAAGTGCTATTCGAACGTATCGGAGAATGTTGTATGCTGCAAGGAGCATACCATCTTGCAACCAAGAAGTTCACACAAGCTGGGAACAGAGTCAAAGCCATGCGAGCGTTGCTCAAATCAGGGGACACTGAAAAGATCATATTCTTCGCTGGTGTGTCCAGACAAAAAGAAATATATGTTATGGCAGCGAACTATTTACAGGTAAGATGTCGGTCACAGTATAAATATTGTATTTTGTAACACGCGGCGTGTTTTTCTGCGTGAAAATATATTTTTTCATAAGTCAGTGTGGCATGGTTTGCCGCGCGGCCGGCGCGCGCGCTCGAGGTCTCACGCACAGTACAATTTCAATCATTCAAGCATATAATTTTATATAATGAGGTCTGATCGTCATCTTCTTACAGCGTTCGATGTAATTTTTAAATTTGATAAATTTATGGCAGGCTGACCGCTAGATGCACCCAGTTTGAACTGATTTTATCAAACTATATACTTTATTATGAGATTCTGGACGTATAAAAATCAATTTTAAAGGAAACAAAAGAGTAACAAAAGTATTTTTTTCTCGGTCATGCCATGCTATGCTCAGTTATATTATACGGTCTATGCTGATTCCCAGATTCCTCGATGGCTTGCAGTGTACTGTCCTATGAACTATATGGACTGTGGACAAACTGGTATTTAAGGCGCGATATTCTCTTTTAATTCTGTGATTTTTGTTATAAAGTTAATACAGTACAATTTGACGACGGTTGAGTATTATATTTTCTGTTTATATAAGCGTTAAATATATAATTATAACTCGTGCAAGTCCGAAATGGGCCGTGTGCTGCTTCTAGGAAGTACATATGACAGTGCATATCAGCACACTGTTGGCTTTCTTAGAGACCTGATGAGTACCAAGCGGAAATCATGATTGCCTGGTAAGCAAGTTAACACTCATTCCGAATGGCGGTAGACTATTACAGCTACACTGCAGCTTACACTGAAGTGGGAATCGCGTCACTGATATCCTCCGAGCATAATTACCAGGATAAATCCTGTACCAATCACAGCTTGGTGACCTGGCCTGCCTGCCTGTTAACTCATTCATTTCGGATAAGCCGATGTAATGAGCTTTTATGCTGCTCGAATTTATCTAGGCGGAGATGAGGAGATAAACTTTGATTGGAATATTGAGGTGTATCCAATCCTTGTGTTATCAGTAGTCGATGAACTAGCAATTACTGAGCAATTACTGAGCAATATTACTGAGCTTTCGAATTTAGACCCTGCAGATACATCACACAACAATCAATACTAATAATCCCAGGGTGTCTGTCTGTCTGTCTGTCTGTCTGTCTGTCTGTCTGCCTGTCTGTCTGTCTGTCTGTCTGTCTGTCTGTCTGTCTGTCTGTCTGTCTGTCTGTCTGTCTGTCTGTCTGTCTGTCTGTCTGTCTGTCTGTCTGTCTGTCTGTCTGTCTGTCTGTCTGTCTGTCTGTCTGTCTGTCTGTCTGCCTGCCTGCCTGTCTGTCTGCCTGTCTGTCTGTCTGTCTGTCTGTCTGTCTGTCTGTCTGTCTGTCTGTCTGTCTGTCTGTCTGTCTGTCTGTCTGTCTGTCTGTCTGTATGTATGTCTGTCTGTTTGTCTGTCTGTCTGTCTGTCTGTCTGTCTGTCTGTCACTTTTGTATTTCAACTGCGATAGCGGAGTCCCGGCCGTAGGTACGGGTCACACTAGTAAACTAGTACCTACGGCCGGGACTAATACAATAGTATTATGTAAGGTTCTCAATAATTTGGTTTTACTCTAACAGGGTTCCAAAGAAGCTAAGGGAAGGACAGTGTAGTAAAATATTGTCAAGCAAATTGTCCATTTTCACCATGCACACTGCACAGATCCTACTTATTTGTGGAAGATACAGTGTAATGGCGGATATGTAAATATTTTGCACTTTATTTAGAGTCAGTATTATGCACAGATCCGTGTCAGCTTGCATAAGCAACAAGCTTAGGGTTGCATAGAAATAGAAATGATTTGCATATCAATACGGAATAAGACGCCATCATAAGATCATAGATCAGGAAATTGAGCGGCCGTCCACACAATGAATCCGACCGCATTTCATGTTGTCTATGTACCGTGTGTACTGTACTTTTCCCCCTATACGTCCAGTAAATACTTAAATAGAGGTTCTAAACTTCTACTAACTGTATTTCTACAAATATTAATTCAATCGGGCTTGTTAGAGAACTACACTTTCTCCATTTTCCTGAAACTCACGTTATAATTTGACACCGAGGGATTTCATATATAAAAGCTAGAAAGTAGAAACCCTTTGTCAAAATATGTTCGAGGAATTTCAAAATCAGTAATTTCCTAATTTTTCCACATCAAATAGCACCACCGTGGACCCTGTCTCGAGTTTAATTTATCGATGACAACAAACTTCTAAGTTTTTAATGATTGTATTTTAAAAAGCCATATCTTTGGGTGTGGTGGGTATTTGATGAATCAGCAAATGGGAATTGATCAGATCTTTCCTATTATCACGAAAAGGATTGCTTTACTGACCACTAACATGCTGTTTTGGCTGATTCCTATTTGTTTTCTTGACAAATTGATTCGAGAACAGCTCCTTTGCCTTTGTAAACGGGCTAGTTGTCATGAAAACGGGCTATCTAATTTACCGCTTATTTTAGAGATGTACGCTCAGTAATCAGTGTGCTGTTTGACCGAAATACTTGCATATTTTGGCAGCTTTTTGCGACCATCATATTATGGGGTTATAAACCCCTCCGGGATAGAATAAGATTCTGATAATCCCGGCTCCCGCTAAATAGATTCTGATAATCCCGGCTCCCGCTGTTAGTTTTTTCCCGCTGAATAAATAACCCCGGCACAGCTTTTATAATCCCGCCCCGCTAATTTGGCTCAACAAGATTTGTTTTGTTTTGACATTCCATGAGAATTTCAACCGCGTACTGTCACGTGTTTTGATGACGTGTATCACGTGACTAACTACTACGACGCGCATTGGTAAAAAATGTCACGTGACCTATGGCTTAACGTAAGAACTATAAATACACTCGATCTACGTATCGGTCTAATTGCAGGCGCTGGCAAAACTCCAGCACACTGCTTACATTACTTAAACTCTTACATTAATTGGACCAGTTCCAAAACTTGTCTCGACGGTTACATTTGATTTTGTCCGGTTCGGTTAATTTTGTCGTGTTTGATATAAGCCATGTATTATAGTCGTCTACTTTGATAAACTTCATGACACGATATCATTATTAGCTTTTATCGCTTGCCAGGCTTAACTCGACGCCCCTTATCGATATTCATATTCATTCAACGTTCTGACTGAGGAATAATGTTTAGATATAACGCCAATTTCAAAAGTCATAGTACCTTAGTTGTATTTATTTGGTAGTCCCCAATTCCATTTCATATTTTCCATAATGATCTCATATAGCTATATTTAAGAGTAAAATGTCAAATTTGTTGGTCCTAGCACTAACCCGGAGGGGTTTATAACACATAACACCGGCACGCTTAAGTTATATTAAAATAACCCCTCGTGCTAAAGCACGTCGGGGTTATTTTCATAATAATCCCTCGTGCTTCGCACTCGAAATTATTATAAACTTTTCCCGCGCGTCGCGGGAAAAATTGAAATATAATCCCTGCGCATGCCGGGGTTATGTGTGTTGTAAGGCCCGATGTGACTTTACGGCCCTATAGAGCGCTCCAAGTAACAATCCGTGTTGAATACAGATTATATGGGAGGTTAATTATCGATTTGTAGTCCAACTGGAACACATTTACTATAGCTGGTTTCAATTAATCCAAAATTGCCCGAATTCGGATCACATTTATATTTCACAAGATTGAGAGTTATATTATCTCAATTCTCAACACTTGAGCAGTGTGTTCTCGGTCTTCGCTGAAACGTTCGGGAGTTGGACGCTTTTATATTTTGTCTCTAATATCTAATAGTCAGAAATGTAAGAATTAACAGTTAACACACATTTACAAAACAGGGGGGCTTCGTATCAGAAAAAATGTTAATCTTCAGTGTTAGGAACGCTTTCAAGTGTAATTTAGAGTCATTATGGAAATCCTGACGAATGAAGTGAGCGATTACAGTACCGTTCCGCTCGTTAAATGTGTCACGTATATTAAATATGTCAGATATTCAGAACAGTGTGACTTCATGGCTAATTATATTCCTGTGCGGTACAGGAGCTATAACCCCGGTGTTGTCCTTTTGAAGTGTTTGATGTTGTTCTTGTGATGTAATTTTGTTCCGTTTGTGTTCCGTTTGTGTTCCGTTTGTGTCGCTCTTTTGAATATAATTTCTCCACGCGCTATTCAACCCAGATTTCCTTCACAGTTCACATTGTAATTCTTCTTAATAACCGGCTGGGAAGACCTTTCAGTTCAACTACTATAAACTGTCAGGTTGTTTGTTTAATAAAACAGTTATCAAACTTAATATTGATACTGTAATGCTTGTAGTAAATAAAGATACGGCGGTTATTGTAATGAAAGTGAAAATAAATGAAGCCTTAATTGTATAGATGGTCGAGGTGATGGGGGGGGGGGGGTCCGGGGTACCCATCTATATCACCTTACACTGTCAGTGTCATGTACTCTCAGTAATCTATCCACTAGAACTCAAAATATTATATAATATTAATATAATTATTATATAATATTCAATAGATTTGTAACTTATTGTAATTAGTTTAAAACGCTATTTACGAATTCTCGTAAATAGTTGGCCATGTAAATTGTACCCACTGAATCCCCACTACACCAGATTGAATCCCTACATAACCCCCTTTGCCAAGCTAGAGTAGATCTCTATATATATAATATCTATATATATATACACTACCACTGTGTAGATTTGGGGCTCCTCTCTCTCTCTCTGTAGGAATGCAGATGTGGTACTCCTCACTCTCTCTCACTCTCTCTCTCTCTCTCTGTAGGAATGTAGCTTCTTAACAGTCTAACCATGATATGATTATTATAATTTGTTGCTTCTCTGCAACCTTAATAACTTGGACTGTTATGCTTATTACTTTATGAAACGTCAAACGTTGCTCCTGGTTGTGTATCATGTGTTTTCTATAACTTGATATAGATTTACTTTACTTTAACATTATTAGTTCTAGCAAATACTAGCTTTGTAATGTGATTTCACAATTAGTAACGCACTAAAATTAGTGGTATAATCAAATAGTAACTCCCCTCCCTAGCTGCACCCTAACTGCACCCTAACTCCTCCCTAGCTGCACCCTCCCGCTATGCCGAAAAATCCCTGGGACAAGGATCTGGAATCTCTGCTGGCGTCCACTAACGGGCTCTGTGATTCAGGGATGATATTTGGTAAAGACGGGGCTATGTGGTGCTCGACGGATCACGAAAACGCTCTTAAGATAACAGGGGACGAGGCCAAGAGAATAGGACGTGAGCTCGCAAACCAGGATTTTAGCATGAAGGAGGGTGGTCTGCAAGTGAACGGAACAGTTTACCTTCCTATTGGGGACGGGGGTGATGTGTTTGTAGGATTTCAGGAGGAAGAATATGTGCATATGCACGCAACAAATAGTTGTGTGATTATCACACACTGTACCTCTAAAGACGCCCCAAACCACGAGGTTATATCTCAAGCTGTGAGGTCGGCTGCGTTGTCATTAATTCAAATAGGACTGTGATAGTCTATGTGGAACTTTGAGAGTCTCTGTGACAATTTGAGAGTCTCTGTGACATTTCTCAATCGCATGTACTGAGTGTGTGAACTGTGAGCCTAAACTGATATTGATGGTCACTAATGATATTATTAGGGACACTTACAGTTACACTGGTATCGGTTATCACTGAGCTAATACAACAATGCATTGAATTCATGAGACTTATATATTTTATTTTGATGCATATTTCATGTGAATATTTACTTTCTAATATTAGGGATAATAATTTTAATGTAGTACGTTTCATATTTGCTGTATTTACACGATTCTTTTTTCACAAGGTTCGGTTCATCTATTGTGTTTTCTATGATATTCATAACAAAACAGTTCTGGCTCTGCTTTGTCAATGTACTCGAAATGAAAACTATTACTAAACAAGATTTATAAATTGCGTTATTCTTAAAATCTAATAGTCATATAATACTAATACTACATACAACCTAGTTTAGTGTGTTGTACTCACACATAATTATAGTCAAAATTTAGACCACCTTGTATAATACAATTATTGTGACACATGTCACATATAATACGTTACATGCACGGGTTTACCACAGCAAAAATAACTTTGTTGAGATTATAAAACTATACAAATTTCGAAAGTGTGTACTGAATTGAAGCTGAAACTGAACTTTTTGGTGAACTACCTGAATCGAGAGTACTCCTTAGAGTTAGAAATATTCTTATTCGTTGCGCGCCAAAAAGCGACCAGCGCTGCTAATTGCTTCAATGAAATTTAAACAATTACTTCAATTTTACCGGCAACTCCATTTCAGAGATTGGATTGGAGAAAAGATCCCGAGATCATGAAGAACATCATAACTTTCTACACTAAAGGCAAAGCCCTGGAGTCATTGTCTGGTTTCTACGATGCTTGTGCTCAGGTTAATAGATAATAGATATCTATTTAATTACGTTAGAATCAAGTATATATTTAATTGATATTATATTTAATTAGTTGAAGTTGAACAGCACCACCATTTTTTCTTGACGATTGTTGATTGTGAGTGTTTAGTGAAGCAGTTTATGGATTAACTTTTTTATTTGGTTTTGCTTATAATTTTATCAGCCGAGTATTGTGTAATTTGAAAGATGAAGCTGACCGTTGATGAGATGTTTATGTAGCTAAATTATCAAACACAATCAGGTGGAGATTGACGAGTATCAGAACTACGAGAAAGCTTTGGGGGCACTTTCTGAAGCCCTGAAATGTATGAACAAAGCGAAAATGCAGGACGTTTCCACTCAAGAGGCTAAGATTAACTTCCTGAAGAGGAGAATATCTCTACTGAAGAAATTTGTTCAGGCTAGGAGGTTTGAACCTGTTGTACACTGTATTACTAACATTAACCAAACAATATAATAATTTTTGAGTATTAATTATTCTGATATCTGACGAATTTTGACTGAGTGGAGACTAGAGACTCTCACTTCCTTTACCCGAATCAAATTCAATATAAAGATAATCAGCTAATGCTGGCACCCTTCCAGATCGTACGAAGAAGACACTGAGGAAGCAATGAGACAGTGTATGGTGCTGCTGGAAGAGACTGACCTGGACACTGGGGTTAGGTCAGGGGACATATACGGCTTTATGATCGAGCACTACGCTAGCACTGCCGATTTTCAGAAGGTTAGCTTTCACTTTCACTTTAACTTAAACTCCGACAATTTTGGAGTAAGTGCTCTAAATCTCTCTTTAACAATAACAGGGAGCCAACTTGCTTATAAGGAAAATAGTTTTCGAGCGGAAATTTTCCCTTTCATTTGAATTTGATTTCTGTATGCTAATCAATCCCTGCCAAACCAACCTAAAATATCTACAAAAAATAAATATTGGATATTAAAATTTAATTTAATTTTTATCGACAAAGGAAAGAGAGTTTATAATTATAATATAATGAAAATTCAATAAAGACGTATCTTCCCAGGCGTACCACTTGGTACAAGAGCTGAAGCAGCGACTACCAAACGCTTCTCTGGCGTACTACGTCAACAATACTGTGCTGGAGCAGATCAAGAGGAATGTGGGACTGGATGAGCCGGCTCTGGACGGAGCTGCCGATACTTCTGGAATAGATGAGGAGATAGAAGAAGACATACCTGAGGACTTTGGATTCTGAGTGGGGTGAATTCTTGAGAACTTTGAGAAGAAGTGACACTTCACAGAAGTTTTGCATAAGTTATTATTTCAGTCAAATTGCAAATGAAGTTGCTATAAAATTTGAAAAACTTTAAATCGTACAGAAACTTGTTTGTTAACAGTAGGTAGTGCGCCATCGACAGTGAGCTGCGCGTGCCGACTGTAGGATGGTTTTTTAGCGCTAATTTCGGCCAGCACAATTTTCTTCAAACAAATAGATATTAAGTATCCTTCCCGACCTCAAATTGCAACAAAAATTGGTAAACTTACTCATAGACTTACAAGGAAAGTGTCCCAAAAATTTAAAGCATATCCAACCTTCAGACATTATGTTACAGCTAAAAGCAGCGTATTTTGCCCCATTTTGATCACTATATCAACTTCGATATCCACCAAATTTTTCGGACAGTTGTGAAAGCCCTATTGGAAGGTCGTCGCCAATTTCCAGAATGATCTCATTTAAGGAACTGAAAATAAATCCGAATAACACGACAAAAATGGTCAAATTTGGACGAATTTGGTCAAATTACGCGACTTTTACAACTACTTTTGCTCCAAAAGCCGCGCACCATCAAATATGGCACCTAGGCAGTAGGCGAAACCTACTGATCTTTCCAAAAAGGTATGACAAATTTGGTATTGTGAAAATTCTCACAGTCTCTAGAAAACAGTGGTAAACAATTTTTTTAAATCCGAGCGAGCAAGTTTATTTTTATCGTGCACCCCCTATTAACAGTTGCAGTATTTGATATTGTGTGTATATATTTGTATAGTTTGTCGTGGAACATGTTGATCGTAGTTCTGCAAAGATTTCAACTCTGTCTTGGGCTTTAAGTACTAACATGTGACATTTTTAGTCAGTGTTAGTTTTTTCTGTTTAGCGTTCGATGTTATAGCGTTTTGTGTAACTACATTATTTATAAAGCATTAACTTCGATCTTTAGTATAATGAAGCATTTTTATTTATTAAAATATGTGATTAGAAGGCTTTTACTAGTTCGCTCGCCTTGAAATTATAACGTGACTTTTGGTTTTGCTTGTCTCACGTCGTGACTATCATCGTCATCCCATTCAGCGCGCGGCGGGCCTACAACGTGATGCAAGTGCCGAACGTTTGGCATGGAGTTAGTATACTCATAAATAGTCATTTTGAATGATCATGCCATTACTGATTACGTGGCGCGTAAACATGACAATGCGATGCAGCGTGTCGTTAATTCCTCATGCAAAGTAATCTCGATCACTGACCCAGCCGGCGCGCGCTATTTAATATACTTCCAATTTCAGCTTTGCGTAGCACTTTGCCTAGGGTCTATTATGTAATTTTAAGGCCAAGATGGTCTATATGTTGATTCACGATGTCAATCCTTCGCATCTCGCCGATCTGCATACGGTTGCGAGAAGCATTATTTGATGCGCGCGCGACCCAGTAGTGCATCGCGCTACAACCTTAATACCATGCCTTTGATGAGACTTAAACTCGAAACCCGTATCGTTCGGAGCATGTTCATTAAGAATTTTCCATACATGAATAATAGAATAACGCTCTCTCCGCCTCTGAAGGGACATCAACTTAAGCTTCTTCAGCCTGTCCCAGTACTGGAGATCACGGCAGCCAGATATCTTTCTAGTAAAGGATCTCTGTACAGTCTCCAGCTTTTGTATCTCTGTGACTTTTGTAGGGCTCCAGACTGGACAGCAGTACTCTAGCTTGGAGCGAACCATGCTTTTGTATAAAGTCAGCATGACTACTTGTGACCGGTCTCTAAAGGCACTCAATGTCCAAGCCGCCATTTTTCTAGCTCCTTGAACTGTCTTCTCAATGTGAGGACCCCATGACCTACTGCTGCTAACATACACTCCAAGGTCTCTGACAGTTTCCTGTGGTGATATTGCGTGTCCTTTTGGTGTAGTATACTCAACAGTCTCTGGGTAGAACGGGAGCTCTCTTAGAGCTTTTGATCCATTCAGGGGGTAGTTTACAACCTCAAACTTCTGTTCGTGTAGCTCCATGTTGTTAACACGTGACCACTCGATGACTATGTTGAGATCATCTTGCAGTAACTCCACACTCGGATAGCCCCAATCAGCTTTGTGTCGTCTGCAAAGCTGAATCCGTTACTATAGCTAATGCTGTTCAACAGATCGTTGATGTACAGGATCAAGGATAAATAGGATCGGTCCTACGGCAAATGCTACACTGCTACGAAGTAGCGCATTTCGCCGATCTGATCTAGCGATGTCGCTGTGAGAAGCCTCATTGAGTGCGCGGCGCAGCACCAGTAACGCATCGCGGTGGACACAGTAACGCATCGCGCTACAAGTACTACGCAACTACAATACTGAATACGGACAACACAAGTTTTATTGCGCGCGTCGTTTAGTCTTTTTACCAAAACCTTGCGGTCAATGGCCAAAGTTTTTTACGTCCGGACGTAAAGAGTTACAGCGTGTGTCAAGATGTTACTTGTTTAAATTTCTTCGAAGTATCGCACGCCGCTTTCTTCTCGAAACATGAACTAGGCCCGAGGTATTAAGTGCTATGAAGTAGCGCGCGCCAGGCTAGTCCATTATAACACTGGTTAATGTTTTTGCACCCGGTTAGTCTATTAACAATGAACATTTGTGTGTTTAAAAATGAAACAAAACAATTTGAGAGATCGAGGAAATTTAATTCTAGCACATTTTACAGAATTAGCAAATTTACTAAAATATGATGCCCATGTAAAATTTGACATTTTATTTGTGACTGCTAGGCTAATTAATAACTCAATATAAATTAAGGGATACGTATAATATATAACTAGTTAACGGGGCAAAAATGCGCGGTAAAGCTTGCAACTTGACTAGTTTCCAAAACCCGCTTGTAGGTTTATAACCTACTAGTGACTAGGACGCGCGCCGAGTTGGACTCGTCGACGGTCCTTTGAAACAAATATTTCACGAGTATCACCCGTTAAAAACCCGCCAGTATCTGTGTAATAATTAAAAATTATTTATATTGTTTGTATAATTGATAGGTCTTAATCACAGAAATTAATATAATCTTTCTGAACGACTTTTGATAATGGATAATAAGTCTGAATATATTTTAATTACTGACATAAAATGCTGTCAAGAAAACAACAAATTTGTTTGTTTCTAATCTCCATTTATAACATACGTGGTTTATATTTTATACCAAAAACATCTTACTTTCTTTTTTCCTCTCCCAATCGTAATTTTACCATCGATCATTCCATCAATCTCGGACAATCACTTGAGGGACGTTGTCTCTTCGTCGCATTAATATATGTCTGAGTTGTACCATAAGCTCTCAAGGTTACCTGGGGACCTCAGGCTATTATGTTCATAAACATAGAATAGAGATTAGGCGGAATAACAGGCTGAGCGCGGCCCAGTAACTCTCAAGGGTGAACATTTTCCATGTTCACAGATGAAAAGTTTCGTGGTATACAGTATAGTTTTAGACAGAACAACACCAACCCTCAGTGCCAAATTAGAATAATGAATTTGGTGAAATGATATGTTGCTCTTTAATCAAATACTTTTTGTCAATCTCAATTACTATGGTCACGTGACAGAATAACCTGTCACGTTTTGTCTGCCCGCCTATTTCGAGTGTTTCATTTGTTTGAAATATGATTATACATTGAAACCTCTGTATACTGGGCCTCTCTATACCATGCACCTGGGTATAATACGTCCTGTCCTCTTCTTTTCCCCAAAATGTATGTTAATTAGCTTTCCTGCAACGAATGTGATCTATCATAAGTCATATATGAGACTGGAGACAAGAAAAATGCCATCTTAGGATGCGAAGAGGAATAAAACTCCTTGGACTGCATTTAATAAATTTCTTCTGTAAGGTCCTAAATAAATGAATTTAATAAATTTGTAGTGCTGTAATTAGTTTTTTTTAAATCGCATTTTGTGGTGATTGGAGTACCTATTCGGCACAATCCGTGCATACAAGGCTCTAATGGGGTATACACTTGACAGGTAATATGAGAGGCTACAGATACTGGGGATTGGAATCATATGACCCTCTCTTTAATGGGTTTTTTCTACGCATTGCACTATTTGTTTTCCCTGAGAAGCTTAGTATACAGAGGTTTCACTGTATCAATAATAATAATAATTCTATAAATGCCCATTGTCAAGTTTAGCTTATTCTCCCTTTGTATGTTTTATATCTAATATTAATAAAAATATCTATATTATATGGTAAATCATTTAAAATTTTGATATATCAGTCATTCTATTTATATAGTAAATGCAACTTTTAAATATGAAGAACGTTTATGTAGCTCCCGTTAAGCTTACATTTACACAGCAGAACAGCATTAGATAAGAGGATAACGTAACAATAATGTTTCAATTTCTTGGACAATGATGTACGTTACAAGACATTTGATCAACTCAAAGGAAAAACCAGGACTGATTCAATTTTACAGTTCTTCAGCAGACGTTCTGACTCGATGTCATCCTTTACAAATCAGTGCTATACGGATTGGCCACGGCAAAAATAACAACGCAGCGCAAAAAAAAATGGAGCGCAATCAATTGAAACCGTAAATGAGCACCGATCAGTCCTTCAAATTTCTGAATAAAATCAAACTAAACCATTACAAGATAGATAACAGCAAGTGTACTATGAGATTGCGTTCCGGTTGGACATACCCATTACCCCAAAACATGATGTCCAGTGTCCAAGTTAGGGTAACCCTAACCCTAACCTACGTCCTACACTTTGCCCTACACCATTAGACATCTATATGACCACAAGGCACTTTCCTACTCTTTACCATGGTTAACCAATTACACAGGGTTTTTTCCAAGAGAGGGATCTGTTCACTATTTGCCATCTACGAAGGAACTCCTTAAATGGCTGGAAGATGTCACACTGCAAACATTGACTCATAATTGCATTGTACAATCGGGGAGCCGGGAAGGTTTTCGGGGAATACCTAATACTGCAATTGAGTAAATATTCATGTTACATTCCTAATGTTCATGAATTATGTGCTCTTTAAAAATTACAATAGCTTCAGCATTACCGTGTAATATGTAAATGATCCCTTATGATATTGTAATATTATACGTATCCCTCAATATTTCAATATTTCAACATATTCTTCAATATCTAAGCAGGATATTAATAAAATGGGTGGCAAAGATGATGGATTAACCCTCGAAAATCTTACTCACATATGTACTTTAGGTGAGATTCTATTCTTTCAATTTCTCAATAATTTACTTTATCTCTAATTCATATTTTGCCGAATGATGGGTTCCTGCTTCAATGTCGAAAGGAACGGATAGAAGAAATTAAACCCGCTAAATTCTGTCCATTTTCAGGTACAGGAACATTTGGACGGGTGGTTCTAACTCAACACAACTTGACAAAAGCCTACTACGCCCTCAAGGTAAGCATCTGGCAATGTACTACTCCTGATTGGAAGGTGACGTGTAACTTAAAGGGAAAATAAAGTTTACAAGCCACTCAATCAGAAGTCTCGTACAAACGTTTTGTTTAAAGTTTATCAAACGATTATCGCTCTTGAATTTATCTCTGCCCCCAAAGCAAATGATAAAAACAGTTTTAAACGTTGCTCTAACTTTCTTCCACAAAATTATATCTGCTAAATGTCCGGTGCTATTGAAAATGACTGGTGATGCTAAATGTCCGGTGCTATTGAAAATGACTGGTGATGCTAAATGTCCGGTGCTATTGAAAATGACTGGTGATGCTAAATGTCCGGTGCTATTGAAAATGACTGGTGATGCTAAATGTCCGGTGCTATTGAAAATGACTGGTGATGCTAAATGTGATGTCACCAGTCAAATTCAGTACGCTCTTATGTCCAATGTCCATTCAAGGTTTGACCGGACGGCTAAGACAACACATTGTAGTTCGATCGATTGTACATTTACTGTTAAACCTTAAAATTACTTAAACACAGTTTAGTTCTGCAAAATGACATTAAACATTTGCGTATCGTGAAATGGAAAGAAGATTGAGACGAAATTAATAATTAATAGCTCGTGTTTAAATCATGCTAATACTCCCGTAATACTGAAAATATGATATTTATCAATGTTGTCCTATCGTTTGTTGTCTTATTGGTGTTTGTTGTCTTAATGTTGTCTTATTGTTGCATCGGTGTTCGTTCAAGTGGCCCAATAGGAATATATGAATTCCCACTGTAGGGATAGCTCTTACAAAATACACATACATTTTAATTTGAATCATCGATCTAGAGTCGAGACGTTTAATTGTTTTCATGACGATGATGAAAATTGAAAATGTATTGGCTACAGTGAACATTTTAACTCACTCTTACTAAAAGAAATGCAATGTAATGATATTAAAAACAGGTGTACTCAATAATTTTCGGCTTTCTCCGAAGACCTGATGCTGCATGATAATGGATATGAGAGCACTAAGATGAATATATAAATATTCTAAATATTCTAAATATTCTAAATATTCTAGATATTCTAAATATTCTCATATTGGCACGAGCGGAGGGTGGAACTTATTTTAAAGTTGGCACTCATTAAGTTAAAGAAGTTTTACCAAAAACAAATTTAAGTTTTTGTGGCAATTTTAAGTGTCTGAGGGGTTATAAGAATATAATTATAGGTGGGGGTTATAAAAATAACATTCCTCTGCAAAGCTTATAAACATGAAATGAAATACCTGCAGTATGAGTTATAAGTTATACAATTTATATAAGTTATAGAGAGATTTAAAAAGTAGCGTGATAATCAATCATTCTATCGCTCTCTGTGACCACCTACATCGTGCTTGAGTTATACAATTCACTCATGCATAAACGATATGCAAATCGGTCTTCAAACTTTAATCTCAATTCTGGTCCGAAATAAACGGTCCATCTATAAATAGTAAATATTCAGGAGGATCATCAGCGTTAATAGCATGTCAAGTTAAACTTTTACAAGCATCGTCTATGTTCTATTTCTGTGTTATTTTGCGGAGCGGAGTAAATAGTTTTTGTTAAACGACGTGTATCGAGGAGAAGACTGGAATTACGATGCGACTGTGGAAAGAGAAGCGTGGTACAGCATGCATGATAAAACATAGCTTTGTTTGATAAACAGAAGTCAGGAGGAGAAGAGGAGAAGAGGAGAAGAGGAGAAGAGGAGAAGAGGAGAAGAGGAGAAGAGGAGAAGAGGAGAAGAGGAGAAGAGGAGAAGAGGAGAAGAGGAGAAGAGGAGAAGAGGAGAAGAGGAGAAGAGGAGAAGAGGAGAAGAGGAGAAGAGGAGAAGAGGAGAAGAGGAGAAGAGGAGAAGAGGAGAAGAGGAGAAGAGGAGAAGAGGAGAAGAGGAGAAGAGGAGAAGAGGAGAAGAGGAGAAGAGGAGAAGAGGAGAAGAGGAGAAGAGGAGAAGAGGAGAAGAGGAGAAGAGGAGAAGAGGAGAAGAGGAGAAGAGGAGAAGAGGAGAAGAGGAGAAGAGGAGAAGAGGAGAAGAGGAGAAGAGGAGAAGAGGAGAAGAGGAGAAGAGGAGAAGAGGAGAAGAGGAGAAGAGGAGAAGAGGAGAAGAGGAGAAGAGGAGAAGAGGAGAAGACGAGAAGAGGAGAAGAGGAGAAGAGGAGAAGACGAGAAGACGAGAAGAGGAGAAGAGGAGAAGAGGAGAGAAATATAAGGAGGGGAAGTGTGCTGTTTAGTGTTTACGGTGGTATTCCAATGCTGGAGGTTAAGTATTAGTAAGTAAGTAAACGTTTTTAGAATACCTGTCAAGTAAAACAGGTGGTTAAAATAGTTTTAAAAACCAATTGCTCTGTTGGTTCTTAACAGGGTCTCAAATTAACTGTTATAATTGTCCTATAAGCCGACAAAGGTTTGCGGAAACGATAACGACGATCATGATAATAATCGTCTTGGAAGCAATTGTTTCAAATCGAAAAATCACAGCGAAACACACTTTATACTAAAATTGTTGCTGGCATACAAATTTCGAAGTAAATTTATGAGCCATATAATAATAACTTATTAACTACTTATCTCAGCTCAGGTCTCATTATATATCCACCAGCGGGCTATATTTTGTCTTCTGACCTCTCGCAGCCCGATGTAACAAGACACAGTGCGCGTCCAGCCCGCTTAAAATACAGCACGCGAGCAGACGACAATTAATATGACAAGTAACAATACAGCCCGGAGCACTTTCACTTTCAAACAAATTTTTGGGGCCTAAACTATTAAACTTTAACTATTACAAGACACGTACACCATATTTATGTCACTGACACTACATCTTAATGGTTCCCACGGCTCAAGGAATGCACTATATCACTTATCGGCCTCAGTCCCTTTACCACGCATAGCAGTGCAATATGATTGGCTGACATTGAACACGTGACGTGTTACCATGGTTGCAACAATTAGTGGCGACTTTAAGTCTAGAGTTGATGTTTATACAGTATACACCATACACGCGATCCATTGTTTATTTCAACTGATTTCCATTTCCATAATTGCTCAAGCTATTTCGAGTAATAATTCTTGAAATTTTAGGCCGGAATTTTACGTGTAATTCTATTGTTTTCCCGAAAGAAATTTTGCCCTGTTTTTTGTTTTGAAACTATACCGTCTACCACTAATATTGATGTTATGAATTTGATCTTTTACTCAACGTAAAATATATGTGTATATATATATTCAATGTCCCTTCGTGCTTCGTTATCTTGAGCTCTCTTGGTAACTGCAGATGGCATTCAGTTTATAGTTACACAGTTGTTTAAGTTATGGCGAGCACTCTTTTTGATAGTTTAAGCTGAATTTATTGTTTGACCGGCCCTACACACTGTGTACTGTAACTGATTAACTCTCATTGTACATCTGACGTGTTGTCATGGTAACAGGAATTCTGTGTTACTCGTAGTATGGATTGACGGAGATACACAATTTTTAATCTATGTTAATGATTAACATCCCGTTGACTGTTCATCAATATGGTTGGTGTGTAATACCATTATAGTACGTGGGATTTCAATTCTTCTATTGTGCTATATATTCAGTAATGTTGCCCTGTTCTGCATCTTACCCCAAAGGCTAAAGCATGATTTTCTATTAAATTTGCAGCTTTAGTTCGAAATCTTTTACTTCTATTTGCTATGATTGTTGAAAACTGTAAAGCGCCCGCTCATGGATATACACGATATCATTCCTCGCCATGAGGGCGGAACTATCGTATAGCACTCGGGCCCGTTGGGCCCTCCGTGCTATACGAAAATATCTCAGCCTCGGGCTGGCGCCCTCGTGGAGATATAAAATATTGCACGCGCACGCGCGTGCAATATTTAGTACCGCCCTCAAGGCTGCGGTGATATCTATATTTATCAGGTAATACAAATTTACAGAGCAATAAATTAATCAAAAATTCTTCTGAATAGGGCTGGGATATTTTGGTTGAAGGCTTTCCTCACGGAGGCGTCGTCTCTTGTCAGTCTGTATCGCTTACACCACATAAATTCTGACAGGGCTGCAGTCATGGCTGCTGAATCCGTTCGGGTACGACCGGTTCCTCTTCTCATGTGTCCACAAATCCTCGACTATGGTTGACAACTTGATGAGGAAACCCGTGGTGTTGCAGGGTGTTAATATAACCTTTCCACTTGTCGGTGAGAATAGTTGTACCCGGTAGAACGTGCTCCTTGATGAGTGGGATTAGGGTGTTGTGATCGCGTCGATTGCCGGTACACTCCACTAAGAAGCAGTCGCCAGTAGTTCTACAGAACACACCCAGTACCAATTTACCGACTACCCGTCGACCTCTGTTATATTTTCGTTTACCGAATTTGGATTCGTCAATCTCCACTGCCGACCCCACCAATCTTTCTACGTGCACCGTTGTCGAACTGGTCTTCAAGCATGAAATTTCGGATCGAGGAGAAGATGGACCGTATACACCCGGGGCTGATGGTTATGATCCGTGCTACGTCGCAGACGCTCAGTCGGTTGCAGAACATCCAGATGATGTGGAGGAATACGGAGAAGGGTAGCTTGCGTTTGTGGAGGATACTACCGGTTCTCACTGAGCAGAAGTGGTCGATGTCTGAACACTGCCAGCAGTAGCCGTCTGTGAACTTGCTCGTTGGGCATTTCTTCAAGGTCATAAAGTTGTTGCACTCACAGTCAACATCAGTTATCTGAATCGTTTACAGTGTCTAATCACATCTACCTGACTTTTACACGACTGCTATGGTTACTAGACGAGGAACCCGTTACAGCCGACCTACTCCTGCACCGAAGTGTGCCCATTGGGCCATTGTGCTTCTACTGGACACGTCGCGACCTCCTGTCCTAGGACAAGTTACAACGCTCCTTCTCTTCCTTCTCTCAAATGTTCCAGTTGTGTCCTTGTTGCCAGAAGTGGCTACTCTGATGAACCTCTTACCCATCAGATTATCCTTACTATCGACCCTTGCCTCGCTCATGCATCCTCAACATCTCTCCCTTCTAGACCTACTTCCTCTTTATTAAGATATTTGTTTTATTCTATATTGTAAACCAGTTATTTCAGTATCAATTTATCATCATTGATCAGTTGCTAAATTTCCGACTTTTAACTAGCAGTCCAAAGTATCTTAAATGATAATTTCAATAAATCTGTGTGTGTGTGTGTGGGAAATTTCCGAGCGGCTATATGAAAAAATAATAGTCGTGGTACAGAGTGTACGGACCTTAAGATCATGGAATGTGGTGCCTAATAATGACTTAATCATCCATGAGAAGTGAGAACTGATTATGCGGTTATGTGTTACTGACTCAGCGGGTTAATAATCCTACCCTTTTTAACTGCGGCAGTAAAATCCCGGCCGAAGGGATTAAAAGTTAGACCGACTTTTAATTAACGGATTAAAGTATATTACATATTCTAAACATTTTGTTGAATTAATGTAGTCTTAAACGAGTTTGTTGTATTAATGTTGTTTTAAATGAATTTGTTGTCTTAATGTTGTCTTAAATGAGTTTGTTGTCTTAATGTTGTCTTTATGTTGTCTTAATGTTGTCTTAATATTTTATCATATTTTGTTGTCTTATCGGTGTTTGTTGTCTTAATGTTGTCTTATTGTTGTCTTATTGTTGTCTTAATGTTGTCTAAATGTTGTTTTAATGTTGCCTTAATGTTTGCTTTAATGTTGCCTTAATGTTGTCTTAATGTTGTCTTATCGTTTGTTGTCTTATTGGTGTTTGTTGTCTTAATGTTGTCTTATTGTTGTCTTATTGTTGTCTTATTGTTGTCTTAATGTTGTCTTATTGTTGTCTTAATGTTGTCTTATTGTTGCATCGGCGATCGTTCAAGTGGCCAAAGGAACCTTTTAACTCCACAAAACTGCTGTTTGCACAAGCGATAACATGTCATTCCTTCCCACTTTAAATCCTTTTTGGCAAAATTGTTGAAATTAATTAGAAATATGATTTGTGATGCATGTGAGAATTCTCATATTATACCAGTGATATGCTTCAAACTATCTGGCTTGATGCAAAATAGCGCATCACTTCCACTTCCAGACCCGAAACGTCTATGGCCGAGACGTGCACTTTATATTCGCATGAATTTTTACTATTCATTAATACTTAATATTAACTTTGCGACTAAATCTAGTATATTGCAAAATGTAAATTGAAGTTGTCCAGCAGTGTGATACTCTCAAGGTCCACCCACTCAGTCTGATAAACACCCTCAATCATCTCCCTTCGACCTCTAAGTACGTCTGTCTTTTTACCACGACAGATATCTGCACTGAAATGACGTTAGTTTTCTTAAAATAAATCTCTCTCTCTCTACCACTCCCTCTAAAAGCAGCTGGATTGGTACAGAGTAGTTTACAACAGCACGGTGTTTTGAATGACGATGCATCTAAACATGCAACCAGCTATTTCTCACAAACCTTTTGTTATTATTTCTTCAGCGAGGTCTGTAATTATCCCATATGTGCCGTGTTGCGGTATCGGTGTACTCCTCCCGGTGTGCCCTTCCCGACCCTACTCTTTTGTGCTGCAAATAGATTGTCACGCTCCACACTTTGTTGTGCAAATCAAAGAAATTGAAGAAAATCGCGACTTTTTTAAAGAAGTTGAAGAAAATCGCGAATTTTTTAAAGAAATTGAAGAAAATCGCGAATTTTTCTAAGTGATTTTTTGAGGAAAATAACACAGCTAGACCCACACTCCCCAACCATCTAAAGAGAAATAAAGCGCCCGTCACACTTAGTAACCATCCACGCCACTAAGCAATCATCCCCCATTTCCCAATCTTAACTCCATCATTGGTAACTACTGTCGGCCTTCATTACAAATCATCATATAAATCATCTCTTACACGGTTTTAAATATTTCAGATTTTGAAAATGTCAGAAATACTGAGACTCCGACAGTTGGAACATGTGAAGAACGAGAAAGAAATCCTTCTCCAAGTATCTCATCCCTTTATCATTAAACTGTAAGTATCTCATCCCTTTATTATTAAACTGTAAGTATCTCATCCCTTTATAATTAAACTGTAAGTATCTCATCCCTTTATTATTAAACTGTAAGTATCTCATCCCTTTATTATTAAACTGTAAGTATATCATCCCTTTATTATTAAACTGTAAGTATCTCATCCCTTTATTATTAAACTGTAAGTATCTCATCCCTTTATTGTTAAACTGTAAGTACTAAGCAATAACATTGAATCTCCCGTGCTTATTAGTTACATTATTATATAATACGTTGAATAGCCAGATACACTGCTTATAATGTAGAATGTTTCACAAAATCTTTCCCAGAATTTCGAATACTAAACCAAGCATCCACCACCATCTCACGGGATTATAATATCAGCATATTATTCACACCATTCCATGTACCACTATACAATGTACACATGACTAAATCTCACAACCACAGAAATGGACTCCTCTACAACTACTTACTCATTACTTATATCTCTCAGTCCAGGGGTGTAGGAATGATTTTATTCATGGGGGGGGGGGGGGGGGGGCCAAATTCTAAAAATTTTTTGGCGCTTCGCCCCAAAGCCTGAATTTCGGGGTAAGGACAAAAAGAAATTACGGTATGTGCGATATCGCGATTTTTCAGATCCTGGCCTCACGACAAATCGCGATTTTTCAGTTCTCTGCGTCAAATTGCCCCCCCCCCCGCTTCCTACACCCCTGTCTCTCACTAACACTAAAGTAATCCTCCTCTTCTCACGCTCACACACCTTGGACTCAATCACCACAAATTGCTTTCTCTCTCTCTCTCTCTCTCTCTCTCTCTCTCTCTCTCTCTCTCTCTCTCTCTCTCCCCCCTCTCTCTCTCTCTCTCTCCCTCTCTCTCTCTCTCTCTCCCTCTCTCTCTCTCTCTCTCTCTCTCTCTCTCTCTCTCTCTCTCTCTCTCTCTCTCTCTCTCTCTCTCTCTCTCTCTCTCTCTCTCTCTCTCTCTCTCTCTCTCTCTCTCTCTCTCTCTCTCTCTCTCTCTCTCTCTCTCTCTCTCTCTCTCTCTCTCTCTCTCTCTCTCTCTCTCTCTCTCTCTCTCTCTCTCTCTCTCTCTCTCTCTCTCTCTCTCTCTCTCTCTCTCTCTCTCTCTCTCTCTCTCTCTCTCTCTCTCTCTCTCTCTCTCTCTCTCTCTCTCTCTCTCTCTCTCTCTCTCTCTCTCTCTCTCTCTCTCTCTCTCTCTCTCTCTCTCTCTCTCTCTCTCTCTCTCTCTCTCTCTCTCTCTCTCTCTCTCTCTCTCTCTCTCTCTCCGAATGGTAGTAGCAGTGCTGTGAGATGTACATGCTAGATGTACATGTGTGTTTATATGGTGTGCTGAACACAGGGGACCTGTGATGAGTTAATAAAAGTAGTTTTGTGGACAAGTTTTACAAGCTATAGAGGAAGCATAAAAACCGAAATGTTGAGATTGTCATTGCAAATATTGGACCACGTACGGAGACCACTTTTGACACTTTAGAGCGTGCATTCTGACATGGTTGATACGACGAAGATATCAAATTCTTCTGGTCAGGTGCTGGCATTTATCATAATATATGAGTTTAAAAAGATGTTTTGTTACTTTTAGCTTATCAGCGTTGATGGAAGTATTCAGGGAATGCGTTCCGAGACTCAAATAGTTGGCACTGAACTTGAAGTTGGCATAGTTGGTAACTAATGAGTACTCTAATGAATAATCCCCCCTGAAGGTGTTAGGAATGTTGTGGAATGTTGGACAAATTCTTAGCGTCATAACTGAAACAAGCAATGAATTGATTTCCTTCGCACGAGTTCTATGAGCGTCATGGAAACGCTGATTAATTGAGCATGCCTAAAATTGAAGAGATGAGGTAATCTATATTCTCATTCTAGTTCGAGAATAAATCGAGACTATTCTGCGAGGAGTGTGTGGTGGAATTCTACTATAATTTGTTAATAACCTAACAGATCCTAATTACATGTTATTGATAAAATCGCGCTTTCTTTTAACATGCTGCCTTCTCGCATATATCTAATATCTATGTTTCATTACTTATATCTTAAAAATTATCACAGATTTATCGAAAATAAGCGTACGTAGTACTGTTGGTGGGTATCTCAAAGATAGGAATAATGATTATTTTAACATTCGTTCGTGTGTTGTATGCAGTCAAGATGTTGCAATAAAGAGTATCTACTTTAACAATCTATAACTTAACTTTTAAACATCGCAGAGATAAAATGGAATTTTTCCATCAATTATTTCAATGTAAAATCCGGATCGGAACATTATTTATGAGTCGCATAGTTGAAATGTTTTTTGGGTAATTTTTATTGATTCCGTTTGATGCGACAATTATTTCAATCTTTTATCACTGATTTCTGGATTTCACCGAGATTGGACAATGTCTGTTATCCTGGCGTTCATTAATCATTTCAGCTAGTTTAAATCTTATGACTACATTCTTTAGTGATGGAAATGTTTTATTAAGCATCACAAATTCTTTTGTAACTAGGACTTTTAAAAATAGCTTTAATTCAATAAGTTGATTAGCATACGAACGCTCCATATTCATTGATAATGTGTTAAGGAAATTAATGACTGGTACGAATGGGTTCATTGGGTAACAATCTTTATTAAGACCTACAACTTTTAACAGTCTAAAAATATCGTCTAGATGACTGCCACACCAGGAAATCCAGTTTTAAAACCAGTTTTTGATCTCACGTACCGTCCATTTTACTGTAATCATTCTGCCTACATACCTACGGTACATACCTGTACATACCTACATACTTACTGAATCTGTAATACTGATGTTAGCTCTTTCAATAACAGAACTGCACTATGCAGCCGCTACAGCAAATAGACACGATGCCGACCGGCTATTAACCAGCTAATAGCCGCTATTGACCAGCTAATAGCCGGCTATTAACCAGCTAATAGCCGGCTATTAACCAGCTAATAGCCGCTATAGACCAGCTAATAGCCGGCTATTAACCAGCTAATAGCCGGCTATTGACCAGCTTATAGCCGGCTATTAACCAGCTAATAGCCGCTATTGACCAGCTAATAGCCGGCTATTAACCAGCTAATAGCCGGCTATTGACCAGCTTATAGCCGGCTATTGACCAGCTAATAGCCGGCTATTAACCAGCTTATAGCCGGCTATTGACCAGCTAATAGCCGGCTATTAACCAGCTAATAGCCGGCTATTAACCAGCTAATAGCCGGCTATTGACCAGGTAATAGCCGGCTATTGACCCGCTAATAGCCGGCTATTAACCAGCTAATAGCCGGCTATTGACCAGCTAATAGAACGAACACCGATGCAACATTAAGACAACAATAAGACAACAATAAGACAACAATAAGACAACGATAAGACAACATTAAGACAACATTAAGGCAACATTAAAGCCACAAATTCGTTTAAGACATCAGTAACAAACTTAGTAAGGCAACAAATTATGTTTAACACTATTTCTTCGAATATATTTTACTTTGTCACATTATACTTTACTTCATCAACTGAGTAATACGAAATTGTGACTAAAACTCTGAAAATGAAATAATTAGGTCTTATTACTTTATTATTTATCAGGTAATACAGATCTACAGAGCAATAAATTAATCAAAAATTCTTCTAAATGAGGCTGAGATATCTTGGTTGAAGGCTTTCCTCACAGAGGCGATTTGTCGATCGCACTTCTTCAGAAAAAGCTGCATTGCAGAAGCAGCACTCGTGGACAGACCATCCCTCGAGAGCTCGTTCCTGCAGCTACGTAAAGTGACGCTCCAAAGCATCTACCCAGCGGCGAAGGATATTTGTGATCGTAAATTGATCGACTTAACACGCCTTTATGCTCAAGGAAACGCCCGGTCAGCATTGTACCTATTTGCCCTAAAGCTTGCAGTTAGTAGGAGAGCGTGATGAGTCCGGGACTATCTACCCACTAGATAACAGAATATATCAGATTCAGTCATTTAACTTGGTGATCTATTAGTTTTATCTGATGGAACTAGGCGTTATACATCATACATGCAAGATATTTGCATTCATCTTTCGGCAGGGGGCATGTCCATAATCACCTGATTACACGTGTAATTCACCTGATTACACGTGTAATTCGTTGTTTTATTCTTCGTTATCTATTTTGGGATGTGAGCTTGACAATATGAATTGTTAATAGGGTCTCACTTCAACGGACATATTTAAGCATTTACAGAAGAGGTTCTCTTAGCTCTTCAATATTTGCGAAATAACTTTAGAAAATTCATCTGTATCCCCGTGATAATGTGCAAATTACCATCATAATAATCATGATAAAACATGCACTGCAATCTAGTAATTCTATTCGTGTTTGAAATTTAATTAATTATTATATATGAGAATCAAGCGTTACATTTCAGCCATGCAAAATTACATTGACATTATTTTGATATAAAACTAATGGAAACAGTGGTATTGTAATATAAGTTGCTTAATGTGTGGCCGGATGACAACTAACTAAACTAGAACATTAAACTTGATTATATAATGATTAATTCTGCTGAACCAACTCATTCCTGTGTCAGCCATGTTACAGTTAACACTACTTGCTGGACACATTTCCCAAGTTCACATGTACCGTATATTCATTTTATATTACTTTCTTTAATCACCACGTTTTATAAAATGTTTCTTATAAAACTCAATAAGTTTATCCACGTTTAACGTGATTGTTACAACTTGTAATGGTATGATGGTATTTGGCCCCTGGCCATCTTTTATTAGCAATTCGCAATACTTAGGGACCAAGTGATATTGTCAACTTCATATTAATAGCATTATTCATTTTTTTGGGCTACAAATTTCAGCGTACCCCAACAACTATTATGCAAAAGTGGAAAAAAATTCATTTGGGGAAAGGGAGAGAAGTAATAATTTTATCCAAGATCTTAACATTTCATTGACAACACCCCTGGCGATATTTTTACCTACATCAAATCTGACGACAATAACATTGGGACTGACGTAAGAACTATTGGTTTTAGTAAGAACTGCCCCCGCTATGTGGGCGGCAGTAAGGAGTGGTTAACTTTATTCCATTATAAATACATCAGGGAAGTTGTTGAGAGCGTATTCAAAATACAAACCATATATTTAAAACCGATATAAATATATACATTACAATTTACAGAATGGTTTTGATATAGGGCAGCTGTACAATTACTATGAGAGAGCTTGCAGTATCAAATATAGAATAGCAGAATGGTTTATTTTCATTACATTATGATCATGTAATGGTTATCAGTCAAATGTTAACTTTGGTGCTGTAAAATCTTATCCCCTCATATCTTTGGGTTATAAGAACTATTAGGCTTTATAAAGGTGTTATCGGTCAATAACTGATTATATTTGCAATCCTATTTTTGGTATATTAACTAACTGATCAAGTAAATATTTGCGATTTGTTAAGATGCTATTCTTGATACGTTAACTACATGTGCTAGCTTTGGGTGATCTTCTTGCTTTTTAAAATCGCTTCACCCACGCACAAATATTTTGCTGGGTTCTAAATTTAACCCCGGATCAAAACCCCGCCTTGTCTAATTAGTACGCACTGAACTCCCACACACTTTTAATGGTAATTTGAAAGATCGTGACGTCGAACAGTATTCAGAGCATACAATAAATTAAAGTGTAAAGTGATTGTGCTCCATACCCTAGTTAAGTGCACGTTGCCTGAGTGTAAAAGAATCCTGTTAACTACACTACTACACCACTACTACACCACTACACCACTACTACACCACTACACCACTACACCACTACACCACTACACTACTACACCACTACACCACTACACCACTACACCACTACACCACTACACCACTACACCACTACACCACTACACCACTACACCACTACACCACTACACCACTACACCACTACACCACTACACCACTACACCACTACACCACTACACCACTACACCACTACACTGTTGCATGTTACCATGGTTACTATGCAACATACCTACTCGAGTAGGCCACCAACTAGACCTAGCCTTTTCTGGAAATACTCAACAATACTTTTCCTGGATATTGATTTCTTTAAGACTCGACATTTATCGTGAGTTTGAGTTTAATCCCTCTTGCAATAACCATTCAGACGGGTCAACTGTTCCAAATTCGAATAAAGCCCGACCTGAGGTGGTTATGAACAGCTATAATTTACACATTATCGTTTCTTGGAAACCCGTTTATTACAACAAGAGTCAGGGAAGACTGGATCGTTCTTTGTCGGATTATCGCTTACTGGAAATCAACTTGATAGAAAATGTCCAAATCATTCTCCAATAAGTGAATTATTCTACAATAAGTAAACTGGAGTATGGGTCTTAAGATGTGGGTAAATAAATGGAGTATAAATGCCAACATAACGGCAAGATAATATGTGATCAGTAACTCCCCCACACGTGTACAATTCTAAAACAAATTGATCACGTGACCAACGACTTAACCACCTGGCGGGATTTTGCTTGGTGTCGTGCAATTTTCTGAGGCTAGTTTTAGGCTAGTTTGAGGCTATTTTTAGTTGTATAGCATAGTAATGCTTGTTATCCCTTTTATCGCATTATCCTCAAGATGTTTTACACTTTACAATCGAGGTCCTGGGTGCCTAGCTACAAGATACTTGGTGTCGTGCAATGTAGGGCTAGATCTGAGGCTAGATTTACAAAGTATACTTTACTTAAGTTACAAGTTATAACCCCTGTTCACTGATGCGATGTTTTATACTGGTTAATCCTTTTTACTGGGATAAATACAGCGAGGAGTTAGGCACATACAGTCGGAATACTTTTACCATTTTCATTAAATAAAATAAAACATTATTATACTATATTTTATCAAGGTGGTTAGCTTGAAACTGACATAAGGGAGACTTGTAGTCCCCAGCAAAGCTTCCTCTTCATATTTCTTTAAACCATGCAAGAATCCTCAGCAATTAATGAGCTCTAATTTAATACGAAATATCTGTCGGACCATCCACAATCAGAACAACCACAGCCAGGTTACATTAGTTTACGGAAATTATATTAGCATTTCGTAATATTTTTTATTAGGAAGGACGACTTCTGTATTAGTGGAGGCAAAGATTACACCACTTCTGCACCAATTACAAACTTGGGTAATTTTACGAATTTAATTTATTCTATACTTTATGTTTAGATAAGTAATATATGGAATACGCCCATGATTTCTGTTTTTATCAGCTTCTTAGAGGTTAATTTTTAAATTGTCAATAGCGTTGTTTTGCTCAACCTAATCTATTTCGGTTATTCAAATAAAAAATAAGCCCAAATATAACCCTCAAGGAAGGACTCTACCGGATCGACTTGGCCAGAGTTAAATGAATTGTCGTTATGAATTGGATTCCTAAATACACTAACCGCGCCTCATGGCATGAACCAATCATCACAGTGTAAATCCCTTCACACCCTTTAACAACGCTAATTTTATTCTTCCTTCTGGTTTTAACGCCCTCCACTTTGTTCAAAGATGAACTTTTTGGCATTTTCATACAAACTCGATGCTATAAAAAAATGAACTACATTCTGCAAAATCATTAACCAAACGATGCCCTGTACGTGTTGTTTACCTGATAAAGAAGGCAGACCAGCTTTGAGACAAATTATGAATTCATTTAATGGGATTAAATCAGGCCCATAATTTTATTAAAGGAATGTGACCGACTCCGATAATAAACAATGGAGGTGTTTTAGACCGATTAATAATGGAGGTCCTGTAATAATCGGGTATGACTTAACCGGAATCCTACCGACCTAGTGCAAGGGACAAAATGTTTAAAATCATAACTTTTAATATTTTCTGTAAACAAATCTCATCATCGCTCATTTAGCAGTACGTATAAAACTCTGAGATTGTGGTCACTCTGTGCACAATGTATCATTTCTCCTCCACATGGCAAGTGAGTATCCACACTGAGTACAGCATATTATGTAGCCTCTCTCTTTCTCTCTCTGTCACAGCGGGCATGCATCAAATCAGATAGATGAGCGAGAGAGAAGAGCAATGATAGTAACAGGCCACACAACTTTTATTGCCTAAGTGATTAAGTTGGCGTGCAACTTTAGGCTAACACGATATAATGAATCATAAACAATATGTCGCTTTGTCAAAGCGAGGTTTATTTATATATCATCTTCTGTACAGTAAGTAAGCAGCGTGATTAATCACGTCCAAAGCAGCTCAGTAAATTAAATTAAACATTGAATCAATGTTCATCGGCGCTTGGTATTAGCCTGTGAAACGTATTGACAAGATTGTATCTATCTCATCAGACATGCAGTCCACAAAGATAAAGCTCACGTGTTCATGGTTCTGGAATACTCCCCTGGAGGCGAACTGTTCACTTATCTCAGAGCAGCTGGAAGGTAAGTGAGTCTTTTATACTACCTCTTAGTTTCACATTAAAAACATGTTGAATTTAATGAATTAAACGATCTTGAGACATATTTCTATCGTATACCAGGTACCTATGCGATATTCGCCGCTGCCTTCCGTTTGATCACATATATACACATTGCGCTGAAATGCCATACCGCTTTGATCCATATAATTACCCCGATAATGCACGACATTTTTCAAGTATCGGGATGATATAGGGTCTAAAAATAGATCACAATCTACTCATGGAAAGTTCGCAAGTAGCTGAAAGCAATCAGCTCAAGCAACCGCAGGCCGCCAGTCGGTCACATTAACAAAACAAGCGTAGCGGAACGCGCGACAGTTTTATTATGTAAAAAGATTTTAAAAAGCATTCACTGTGTTCGTCACTGTTCGTGTGTGAGGTCGCGCGCGGTACAATTCATCGCTGTGGTAGGAATGAATGGCAATTACGACCATTTATTTCGACATGCACTCTCTGAAATTGCTGATCAACAAAATTGTAGTGTGCACGATCACCGAATATTGACACCATCTGTTTTAACCGACTTCTCATCTCCAGGTTTCCAACAAGAACGGGACTGTTCTACGCAGCGGAGATAGTATCAGCTTTGGATTATCTACATTCACTTAACATCGTGTACAGAGACCTTAAACCAGAGAACCTGTTGTTGGACACAGAAGGTCATATCAAGATAACTGACTTTGGGTTCGCTAAAACAATCGCAGACAGGTAGGTGTAGCCCACTTTTAAGTTTCCGAAATTGTTAACCGTAAAGTAGCTTATTTGGCATTTTGGCAGCCTTCATTTTCGTGCTCAGTAATATAGTAAAACTAGACGTGCCCGCATTCCTCCCGGTCCCACAAAAGAACAGGCAAACATGACTGGTACGTGACATACAAACAGACAATCCCCCAGGACGTGGACCCTCTGTGGTACACCGGAGTACCTTGCACCAGAGATAATCCAGAGTAAAGGTCACGGCAAGGGGGTCGACTGGTGGGCTTTGGGTATCCTTATCTACGAGATGCTTGTTGGGTAAGTACTGTTAAGTACTGTTGTGCAATTTAATTTTCGTGATCGAACTGCTTCTTGAATCTTGTTAGAGGTCGTTACGTAATCACTTTTTGGCCAACTTTTTAACCCTTCCCCCTTAAAAATACAAATTAACAGTTTGAATTGTGATCATTTTGTTTGGAATTGACAGGAATGATTGCACAGGTATCCACCATTTTACGACGAAAACCCTCTGGGAATCTACGAGAAAATTCTGGCTGGTCATGCAGAGTTCCCTAGATTTGTAGATCCCACGAGCAAGTAAGTCCAATGATTTATGATTAATCCACGGTAAAGTAAGTAAAATTAATGTTTTCCATTCTCTTGAAGTTGAAGATCGATTATTGAGTACGCATACAACATTTTCCATGTCTTAAAATGATTGCCAAGTCACCGGTTTACATCAAACGAATCCTCTCTCGACTTGCAAACAACGTTTCCCCAGATCGTTGATAAGAAGTCTTCTGACAGTGGACAGGACGAGAAGATTGGGAACAATGAAAGATGGCAGTGCGGATGTGAAAAAACACAGATGGTTCAGAGAGATCAAGTGGGACGATGTTCTGGACAGAAAACTTAAGGTAAACATTAAGAAGCCGTCATTATAAACTACTGATGAGTTTTTTAATGGATACACAGTTATTCTAAAATTAAATCCTTTCACAATTCACTAGACTTTTGAAACATTTACATTAGCTTTACTGTTCTGATAATGATATAAGTTTCTGTTTTCTTAAAGAATTCACACTCTTGGGACTTGTTCCCGACTATAAACAATTTATAAAGCAATTTAAATAGCAGTGTGCATGTGCGAAACAACCCTTTTACAAATCAAGGGATGCGAATGTAGTGCTTTGGTGCTCATTCTTCTATAAACTATACTGTATAACTATAACGGTTATGTTTTAAAGCGTGACTCTACTTTGCAGCCACCGATAGTCCCAAAAGTTGAGCATGCAGGGGACTCCACTAACTTTGAGACATATCCAGAAGAAGACTGGCAAACATCACAAGATCTTCCAGAAACTGTTGTTCAGAAATTTGACGAGTTTTGAGGGCTAGGGATAGAAACAAGCGCTGCGAGCAGTGGTCAGAGAAGATTGAAATGCGGAAGATTGGATCAAAGAAAGGATTTTAATCCAGAAGCTGGTTATTTTGATCATTCTAGTATTCTAGTTGAATGTTGACGACAAGTATCCGCAGCAAACTGTTAGTTTTAGTGTTAGCCTAATTAATTAAATATCCTAAATATCTTGTTTAACTAGGTTATGATTTCGAGTATTTTTGTGTACTCGGCCAAATTCTGATTAACTGGGGTCCTGTGCCTGGATTTTGATTTACAGGAAGTGTAATATAATGCATAGTTTATATCACTTTAAGACATTCACTTTAATTTATTATGTTAATAAAAACGAATGTAGCGCAGGAAAATATGTTCACTGTGTAAATATTTTATGAAAGGACTATACTTTTAGTCAGGGATAGAATGATAATCCGTTGGCAGTGAATGTTTAAAAGGATTTCATGAATAGATATACGGGACTTCCATCTTTATAAGTTTAACTAGTTACTAGACTCGTGGGCAATCTTGCATCTGGCGTTTGCACCAATATTTGGGCCTTAAACTTTTCTAGTTTGCCAATTCTAAGATTAATCCATTTTCAATGTCTCCTGACGACTTTTCCTATCCAGCACAATGATCAAAATATTAATGCATATTATGCAGTAACAAGTAACATAATATGTCCTTAAATGCTCGATTTTAAAGTAATCACTGAGGTCTTTGACGTTCTTAGCTCTAAAACTCATTTTTTTCGACCTCAGAATGTCAAAGACCCCAGATTGATGGTGAAAAGTACTATATCGTAGTGAAATCGTTTTCAACATCTAATGCCGATAATGATTGATTGATTCGCTGACTAACAAATCTGTTGAATGATTGTAGAGAGTGATCGTTCACAAATAAGGCTCAGGCGAGCCAGTGATAGGAGTTTGGGTGGGCAGAATGTTTCGAACAGACTGGGAAACCGAAGTTCGTGGTTTAATATCATTATTTTCACTCCAAATTTCATTGGCGCCCGCCTTCTCTCTTGTCGTTAAAGCTGCAATATAAGGCCTAGTTCCAAGATTCAGCATGTTCCTCAATAAGCTATCAACAGAAGACATAAGGGGCCGTCTGACATCGCAATAAAGCTGCTCATTCGGTCAGTGAACGATCTTTATTATATTCCTGGATATGACCCACTATTCCTACATATATAGATATATTGAGGTGTTCTGATGAAAGTGAAACTGTAACCTGGGCCCTTAACATTGGTGTACTAATATGTCAACAAAATCATAATGACACGCTTATTATAGGCTCTTGATTACCATTGAATTATTTAACAGTTTAATTTGAATGTTCAGTTATATATATTATTTGCGTTTTACTTTAAATTTTCGACTTGTTCAACTAGTACCAGAAACAAACATTATCATCGCTGCTTTTATAAATTGAAATTATTCGAGAGTTTAAGTTAAACGTTACGTTTAATATCGCTTATCAATTACAAAAGAACCACGAGTACGTACTATCAAAGACAAGTTCGTAACGCCCCTAAAATGTCCCCTGAAAGCGAACTATATTATATCAATCAACAAAAATCCAGCCATTAGGGTAATATAGATGTTTTTTGGAATATAGCTATAGATCGGACTTAAATGCCTTAACAGTAAACACCCGTGGTCAACACGAGGCTTCTTACAGAAACTGCTTCTTCCAAATCATTCACATTATATTGAAATTGTAAAACAGTGATACGCGAACCGTTTAAAACTGCACATTAACTAATTATAAAACTATGCCAATTTTTAGTGGCATTCGCATAGGGTACGGGTTGCCCGGCCCAAAATGCCACATCATTTTACATTTTTTGTTTAGATCTCCACGTTTTATACTTAAGATGTACGAATTCATTTATGTTGCGGCATATGAATCGAAAAACTCGACCAATTGACTAAATTCACGGCTTCATTTAACACTGAGTCCTAAAAGGTTCGCGTAGAAAATGTTTACAGATTTGGTGTTAAATATAATTTGAACCTTGTAAAATTTGGTCAATTCGTATCAACGAGGTTACAACCAAACATTCAAAGGTGCAATATTTCATTTGTAGTTGTACGTTACAAGTTTACTAACTTTTCAAAACATAACTCGTCTGTTAAACGCATCTCAGGGAAGACGTTTGCGAACTCCTTCTTTTAACATTTGATGATTTTAAGATGTCGTGTAAAATCATCGCGGCAGCAGAAGATTTCCAGAGATGTTTGTTCATAGTTTAAAAACTGGCACAATTTTAAGAAAAGATCCCAAATTGAAAATTTATACAATACTAACTTTGTCTGTTCTAACATATTTAAGCAGGCTCAATTTACTAGAATCGTAAGGCCCTTACATTAACTGTAATACCATATTTGATCAACAAAATACACAAATATGGTCCATTTAAATTAGTAACTTGGACTAATAACTAAATTAGTAACTTGGACAGCGATCTCATGAATAATCGCACGTTGATTCCGTCTAAACTTTACGAAACGGTTTCAAGTCCACATTATATCGGTTCGAAAACATCGATATCACGTCACATTTTGACAAACATCATTCTTTGCCCGGGACTTGTCAATATGTGTGTTTTGCTGGGAATGAAAAAGTCCAGTTTCTTAAGGGTTATCATCTTGGAAGTTTTCCGAAAACAGAAACTCTGCAGCCAGGTTCTCGTTCTTATCGCACGCAAAGTAGGCTTGTACCACAAGGTGCTCAGGGAATCCCAGAGCTTTTATCTGAGATGAAAGTTATGTCAGTGCTTCTTTTAAAAAAGATATTTAACAAAAAACAACAACACTTATATAATAGTTAATGTAGCTGAATGTAGTATCCAAATATTGTTTTAAGTCCAGATGAATTTATCAGTAGGGTATATTTAAATGTGTGGCTGCTTGGTGGCTTGGAACTAACCCGATCGATGGCCTCTTTCTCTGCGGGGGTTATCTGAACGGTGCCTGGAGGAGGTGCTTGAGGTGTGGCAGGTGCGTCGCCTCCTCCTGCCGGAGTCTCTTGCAGTAGGTTTATAAACTGCTGTGGGTTTGCTTGGATCGCCTGGGAGTGAGGACTGATTTAGAATCAATTAAATCTTCATATATAGCAGATGGGGAAGTCATCACCGTTTACACAACCCTCTGATAAATATAAATCGTCACAATTTCTCCCTCTAAAGTCTCAATTTCCATTCCCCTTGCTAAAATTGGAACTCCAAACGAAACGGTATAGCATTCGGTGAAGATATTGAATATCTATCTGTACCTGAAGAAGCTGAGGGTTTGCTTGGCCTAGCTCTTGCAGCACATTTTGCAGCATTTGCGGGTTCTGCTCTATCATTCTTCTCAAAACTTGAAACTAAAATAAACAAAGGTCACACATGTCGAGGATAAAATATCATCAATTCGGTTGTAAACTAATTGCAGCTTGGCAATAGCAAATGCACTGGTTAGCGTTCATTGAAAATGCGGACTGAACGGAAAAATCCTTGAAAACTGATTTTTGGGTGTCAGAAGTCACAGATTAAATAACTCTGACCAACCTGAGGCTGATTCCTAAGGAAGTCCAAGTTTCCAGCTCCTAAACTAGGTGCATCACCCTCAGAAGCTGGCTGGGTGCCTCCTGTTCCCTCGGTAACAGGGGTGGCTGCTGGTGCTGCATCTGTTGCAGCCGGTACTGCTGGTGGGGCGGCTGGCATCAGACTAGGGTTGAAAAGGTAGTCTATAGCTCGGTGGGGGTTCATGAAACTTGCTTCCATCGCTCGTTCAATCTGTGGGAATTGTGAGGATACTAATGAAAAGATAAAACAAATTAACAAAATGATAGATCATAGACTTTAACAGTTAACTGATAAATGCCAGCTCAGTAAACTAAAATAGGTATGACATGCCTAATCGAGTTTATCATGAACATATGAAAAAGTGATCATACCTCAGCTTTTTGGAATCCCATAGCTTCCATCTCAGCAACGGCAGTTGCGTACTCGGGTCCCGAGACTAACATATTATCAACACTAGTGGGCTGAGAGGCAGCAGGAGCTGTTGTTGGAGTTGTGGTGGGTGGAGCAGCAGCCACGGGTTGAGCTGCAGCAGGAGCTGGGGCAGCTGGTGTTACTGGAGCCGGGGCAGGCGTCGGGGTTGGAGCCGCTGAGGAAGATGATCCCTGAAAATTTAGTTCCAGATTATGACGCTATATGTTCTGTGCTACTGACAGGACATCCGTTCAATGTTTTGAGAAATCAGAACATGTGGTGAAAGATGAACATTACGGAATACGATACAGTTCTATGTGATTCATTATCAAATGCCAACCTCGGTAGCAGATGGTTTAGGTTTGGAGACCATCACCACGATGAAAGCACTAATATCATAACTTTTTATCACTTTCTCGTCGTCGAGAATTTTACCTGAAATTTAAGTTCAGTTCAAGATCTGTCGATCATGAGTACAATTGACAGCTAGTGTTCTAGCAAAATTGTAAGAAAATTGCAAAAATGCCACACTTTGAAATATCATTTAAGTGTCATTTCTGCATGAGTAGGCGTGTGTGCCTACTTTGGAAATCATACTAATTTGATCCATGTTGGTGAAGTTCTCACCAGGATTATACTAACTTATCTACACAACAGTTGGGAACTGGAAAATCTTTGTTTCTCAGTGCATTGAAATAACAACGTGGTGTTATTTTACGACATGTATACTGTCACAATATATCTTGACAGAAAACATCATGTACTACATGACGCCTACAAAAACCATTGAAGATTGTTCGTGGACTGTTTATTGGCTGTTTAAGTAAACTTTTAATCAATACTATTATTTGATAAGAGTTGTTGTCTTGTCGTATAAAAAAATAACAACATATGATTTCCCGATTTCTGCGTATACCATGTGACATGACTTCGCGTGCAAATGGAATACGATGTGTTATACTGAGTCGATAAAAACTTCTGTGTAAACATGGTTTAATCGGTTTTTAACTGCCCAGCTCAGGTTGGTCTTCGCCGAACAAGATATCTCATCAATAATCATATCTGCTCGGCTTTTTTCACAGAATAAATGAATTTTGTACTATTTTGCATCTGAATTAGTGTGGCATTCTCTTACAATTCTTCATTCTTGTCTCATAGCTCAGATAGGGGGCGAAATAGATGATTCGACGCGATCGTATGTGGCGCGCATGTGAGCGCTTCGAATTTGCTTTTCATACAATTAGGGGATAAATGCTGACAATTCGTAGTCTATATGAGCCGCGCAACGCTCCGATTCCCGGCGATTTCAGTCAATGGCTGGGCACTACGAATCCTGTTCAACGACTAACGAGTACAAAATGTAGTTCTAGATCATGGTCAAACATAACTTCATACCTGCATATATGAGCTTGAGATTCTGGGCAGGATGCGATGGCCCTCTGACTTCCTCCACCTTTTTCTTCAAATCTGACACCTTCAGACTCTCGTCAATCTCAACCTCGAAGGTATCCCTACTGAGGGTCTTGAGGGTGAGCTTCATCCTATTTGCAATGTTTGTTACAAATGACTTTACAAGTGATAATTGAGAATAATCAAATAATTCGTGCGTTTAACTGCAGCAATTGGTAAAGTTAGTTTCATTACGTCGAATACAATAACACAAATAATCTTTGTAACATAAAATTGGTTATAAAATTTAAAATAAATTGTACAATTTTGTAAAATATGTAAAAATAAATACCGGATCATGTCGTCTGAGAATTTAAAAAGCGATTCATTAGAGGATAAAATTGTAGTGACATCATACAGTCAAATTATGGTAATAAGTTAAATGATCTGATATTAGGATCATAAAAAACAATAAAAAGTAAATAAAAACAAAATAACACTGTTAGAATTGGAATTATTAGAATATATTTTAGAATTTAGATGATTTTAGAATTTAAATGAAAGTATTATATAAATTAGCTATTCGGCTATTTACTTAGTAGTTGAAATCACCGATAGGGGGCAGGGACCGAGAGTGCCCATTTTCCCACGGCTTGTCACATATTGTCAATTTTGTAGTATACTGTCGTATATTGTCATATATTGTCATATTACATAGTCGTATATATTGTCATATCTTGTCGTTTATTGTCGAATCTTGTCACATACTGTCATGTACTGTCGTATATTGTCATATGTTGTCAAATCTTGTCGTATATTGTCATGTATTGTCGTATATTGTCATATGTTGTCGTATATTGTCATATGTTGTCATAGTTTGTCATATTTTGTCGTATATCGTAAGGACAATCATGGGCACTCTCGGTCCATACCCCAATAGGAAAAGCTTCAACTCAACAAATTTAAAAACATATGACTCAACATTCACATGATCATACTTTTCCATGCACAACGTCGGAGTGACAATTCAACTCCTTCTCTGACCTAAACATAACCAGACACACAGCACAGCCAAAAGTGTGACTATGTTCTGAAAAGATATGATTCTGAAGATCTTGGGGGCGTTGAAATGCCATTGTGCAATCCTCATAGTCACATTCCAGAATCACACAATGCGGATGACTAGATCTAATATGATGTCTCCAACTGTTCTGGTCTGTAAATCTATTGTGACTTGTGTTACAGTCATAACACATGAATACTTGCTGAGGCTCCTTTACGATGTAAGTAGGAAATTTTCCCTGTTTGTGCTCACCAACCAATTGATTCTGATGCTCCATCATGTATTTTTGAGATTCTATTTGATGTGTCATCATATGAAGAGGCAAGTTAGCCTCATAAAATCTTACCTTACAAATCTTACAATTCCTACATTTAACAACAGCTTTTGGAAGGGCTGGTATAAGTAAGTTTTCTTGTTTTGACACAGCAGAGTTTCCGTGGGCAACATCTTTTCTTGTCATACTCTTTTTATCAGGGCCGGCAGTTCTCAAAACAGTGTGTTTTACAGCTGGGTGTTTGTCACTACTTCTAGCAGTTTCGTTCAGCATAACATTAGGGAGAGTTTTTTCTTTCTGGTGCTCTCCATGCAATTCATTCTGATCTTTAACTTTGTTTTTCCGATGTTCCCTTTCATGTTCCGTCATGTGAAGATGCAAACTGGCATCATCCTTAAGTACAGATTTATGAACTGTAGAGTGATGTTGCACGCAAATCTTACATAAAACAAGTTTTGGAGGGGCGAGTGAGATGACACTTGCAGTCTTTTGTTTTGGAGGGGCAAGTGAGATGACACTTGCAGTCTTTTGTTTTGGAGGGGCGAGTGAGATGACACTTGCAGTCTTTTGTTTTGGAGGAATGACTGAGGTGATACTTGCAGTCTTTTGTTTTGGAGGAGCAAGTGAGATGACACTCACAGTCTTTTGTTTTGGAGGGGCAAGTGAAATGACACTCATAGTCTTTTCTTTTGGAGGGGCGAGTGAGATGACACTCATGTTTCTCTGGGCAATGTTGGGGACCAACAGTTTTCCCTCTGAGGACATAGGTCTCCTTCCATGTCCAGGAATATAAAAATCATCCTGACGTGTTTCTTCATATTTCTCATTGTTAAAAGAATCAACACCATTTTTAAAAGATTCCGCTACCATGTGAGCAGTTTCACCCACTTCTTCTTCGATTATATATGGTTGACTTTTTGGTTTGATCTGAGAAGAAAGAGGAGCTATTAACTTTTCGGTTGGTTTGACAGCTGCTGCAGTTGAGAGACTAGATGTTACATGCTTTGCATTTACAATAGTGTTAGGTATGGAGGTTGTATACAAAGGCAATAAATGATATGTTTTTAGTACTTGTTTTGCTTGTTTCCAATCAATGAATCGGACAGTTTGGGGTGAAGGTGACCTGAAGGTGTTTGTTATCTTGATTGGTTGAACTGTGTCTACAACAGGATCTCCGGGCGTGGGAGTAACTGAAGCTGAAGGTGTTTGATCTGTTTTACCAACTGATTTCTTGTCATTAACTTTGGGAAGAGACGTTTCAATTTTTTGTTGAATTTGAGCAAGATTACTTTCAATTGCATCAAAGCTTGTTTTCCTTCTCTTAGGTTTGGAGTTTATCGTGAGATCCTTTGGAGCTGATATATTTTTAGAATCAATATTCTTATCGTGATAGGGCACTAAAGTATTTATACTATTTACCTTTTTGGCAATTAGCTCTGGGCCCTTGGTATGTACAGATGGATTAAGACTAAGTACTCTCTTTACCTTCTTTACATCATCACAATACTCTGACTCTCTTATCTTATCTAGTCGTTTGATCGAAGCTTTCAACTGGATAGTCACCACCGACCAGGAGTAATCATAAGTGCAACAGTAGCATTTAAAGGATTTATCAGTCTTTGGACAACATTCCAGATTATCAAATTTAATAACATCTCTCAGCTGATCAACTTGGTCAGGGGTGTTGTTACAGAGCAGCATCTTGAAACAGTTATTGCACTGAAGGGCAAGGACACCAGCTCTACAAGCACAGAACTTCAAATGATGCAACAAAAGATCAAGAGTGCACCTCGATTGTCGTGTCGTGTGAGCATATGGACACACATAAGGCCCCTCAATGCAGCTGACTTGCTGCAAGATAGCACGCTCAGCAGCAGTCCTACTCTTGATTGTAAACTGGCAATTCTTGCCACAATGTTGACACACCTTTGGAGAAATGTGGTATAGAAGTATGTGAGGATAAGGAATGGATGCAAAATGTCCATCTTTCTGATATAGATGAGAGTAATGCACCAAGGCAACGTGTGTGTCATGCAATTTAGCATTATCAAAATGTTCACCACAAACTGTACAATAGAAGTTCTCAAGTCGTGCCACACCATTGAATGGTGCTCTTAAACACTTGCCCTGGAGATGACACTGTATAACACTAAGTACACCAACTTTTCCACATCGCAAACATTTAAACTTTTCATGTGTTAACGAACTTAACTCAGAACTTGTCGGTTTTTCATACTCACTGTGCTTCTGATTCATGTGGTCTAACTCGTTATTGGAACTTAAGAACTTCTGCCCACAAATAAAACATGGTCGCAAAGTTTCATAAAAGCCTGTACATGTATCAGTGTTGTATTTTGACATATCTTCATTTTCAATAACATCCGATTTTTTTGTCTTCCTCCTTTTAACCCTTTTCTCTATCTCGTTTTCAGGAGGTACTTTTTTTCTGATGCTTTTTTGGAAGGCAGCCCTGCCCTTCTTTCTGACATTTCTTTGAGTGGCAGTCCTATTCCTAAGCCTTGATATCTGATCTTTCATGGCTGAGGACATTTTCTTTGTATCACAGTCATCTTTGGTTGGCTGAGACAATATCCTGTCCTTTTCCGCGGTTCTGGCACTAACTCGTCTTGAATTTTTCGAAATATTCTTCTGCTTTACTGAATTTGTGGTAAGATCTTTCCAGGATCGTCTTTTATTTCTATGATTTAAAACCGCTCTGCTCTTAAGAGCTTTAGCCTCAATCATCTGATCTGCCACATTCATTTCTACCTGAGTGTCCCCCTCACAGTTATTGTAATGCTTTATTACTTGGTCTCTACTTTCAAATGATTTTGCACACATTGCACATTTGTAGCTAGATATGCCAAAGTGATCACTCTTGATATGGACAGTCAACAGTTCCTTAGTTTCAAACTCCTGAACACAAATATTACAAACAACTCTTTCATAATTTCTTGCTACACTTGAAACACATATAATGCCTTTTGAAACATCATTGTTAAGGATAACACAATCACTCTTTTCTACTTGAGGATCTTTTTCATCAACAGCATTCTCTGGTCGTTTTGAATTTGTTGCATCCGTATCACAAAGATCATCTACTTGATCATTCTCAGAGTCAGATGGATTAGTGTTAGTATTATTTCAATAGGCGTTAGACATTTTACTGTCTGTTCTTTGACAGGGCTGTCTTTGTCTGTAAACTTTAAGAGATCAGTCGAATTATTTACAGGTTGATCAGAATCAAAAGTAGAATTGTTGTGATCACTTCCACTTTCAGAGTTACTCGACTGGGAACTGAAAGTTGTTGGGTGAGCCAATCTGGTATGAGCTGCTAGATCATCCTTATCCCTGAAAATACAACAACACACCTGACACAATGTATCTGAATCAACAATCATCCCATCATCTTCACTGGAGGACTCCTCACCTTGTACATTATCATCTATTTGAATCAGGGGAACAGCATCCAAAGACTCATTATTATTTTCTTTCTCCACTTTCATACCAAAATGTGCTGATCTCACATGCAAGGACATATCATCCTTATTTACAAATCTCTGGCTACAGATGTTACATACAATTGAAAGGCGGCTACCTGGCTTGCTTTTTCCATTGACCTCATCTTCTTCTTCCTCATCAACCATCTCCAACATGAACCTAAACAATGGCTATCAACTTTACGCAGAGTTTAAATTGACATTACTTAATGACAATTAATTTGTGTGACCTCTAATACAAAGTACAAGATACATAACATATATTATGCCAATCATCAATTATAAAGGATACAAGAAAGGGTCCAGAATTCATT